AAGGAATTGCAAGAGTAGTTAAAAATTAAATTAAAGATTAGGAAGGAAATGTGTTAAGTTTTTAGGAGAATAAATTAAATATGTGTATTGTGAAAAATATGAAATAATGAAATAAAATATGAGTGATAATGATGATTTATGGAATGAATGCGAAATAATATAATGAAATGAATAAATAATTATGAAGAGAAATGTGATGAATAATATGTGAAAATGGAGTGAAAGTAATAACTTAAGGAATAGAATGGATTATGAATAGAAATATGGAAAAGTGAGGAAGAATAAATACACAAAAGATGGACGAAATAATTAGCAAAACAATTTATAATAGAGAAAAACAAGTAAAGTAAAGACAAATTAAAAATATAACAGTAAAAAGAGATTTGAAGAAGAGTATCATGAAGAAGTTAAAATGATTAATTATGAAATATGAAAATTTAATAAATAAAGAGATGAGTTGGGAATTATAAAAATAAACTACAAATTGCCAAATTCTGAACCATATGATTGTAAATAAAATGCCTGTTAATAGTTATTTACTCAAAGAAGTCAATAGCGGAAAAATCCGTGGGGTGTTTCATATCAATCAGATATACAGATATGAGGAATAGACTAAAAAAAAAAATCAATAATTATGAAATATTGCCTAAATAAATAATAATATTATTAACCAATGAATTATTTGTAAACAGTAATTTTACAGAATTGTACATATGTAAATAATATTCTAGGGACTTGCAAACAATAGATTTATCATAAAAATTGTGTGTTGATAAAATTTTTCTAGAACAAATTTTAATTAACACAAAATTTTGGGAAATTGTTATAAAACACTCTGCATAAAAAGCTTTATTTTATAATAATAATAATCATAATAATAATAATAATAATAATATTAATATGTGAAAAATCTGTTAATTTGCCACAGATATGAGTAAATAGTAAAATAACACCCTATATAACAAGTTTTAGTTAAAAAGAAATGTCAAAGATGAATGACAAATTAATTAGAAATTTTCGATTTGGTGTCAGATACAAATTTGAGAAACCTTGTCAGTCAGATTTAATTTATTCTCTAAAATATTATATTAAGTAAGCAAATTTCATAGGATTTTGTATATGGTAGTACCAATCATGAGTATAGGTCTCATTTTATAAATTTGTGCGGAGCTAAACAGAAATGTGGTTCAGTACCTTGTGGCAGCAGTAGCAGAGCATCGATTTTCAGTATGCAAATATTAGCATACTCATTGGACTGAAGTTTTCCGACTGTGAGTACTTTTTAATATTTGTGAAAACGGAACAACTGCTTAAACTGTTACAGAACAAAGTAGTAAAATAATTTCGAAATTTGTATAGATTAATTTAATTTAAATTTGAAAAGTATAGCACTGTAAATACTAGTACGGTATTTTTTCTGTATTTAATTTTTAGATTATTTTTTTTTTTATAAGGTGTGAATGTGAGGTATGAAAGGATAGTAGTTATTATAAATTAGTAGATATAGGTAAGCAATTTTGAAACTGTTTCTAATGTTACATTGTGTTTGACAAATAAAAATATATTTGAAAGATTTGATTTAAAAAAAAAAATTGTCAATTTGTTTACTTAATTATACAGGAAGGTCCTATTTTTCTTTTTAATAGTGAGTTGGCAAAATTAAATATTTCTAAATTTATTTTTAAATTATTGGTTGACTTACATGAACCACCCCTGAGAGCAAGACAATCCGCTCTAGTGACATAATATACGGGCTAGCCAAGGTAAATAATAATAAAGTAAATTTTTTTAAAATGTAGTGTTATTAAAACAAATTATAACATTACAATATATATATATATATATATATATATATATATATATATATATATATATATATATATATATATATATATATATATATATATTGTAAGGGGTTTTCTCGCCACAGAGAAAACGATTCCTTACGAATGACGCTGGTTACGGGCGGTTCTCGAGCGCCAGATTTTTGGTGATGGTTTACCCCACGAACTTTCGAAACGGCGTCAAAAGTACTCGGGTAGCTACAGATGGAGATGAAAAATTCCAGGGGTCAAAGGTCACTTAGACACAGGTAATAGTAGGCCACAAGTAACGGGCTTTAATCGTTGCTTGGGCTGGTACAGAATTAATCACTAGCTGAAACATAAGGGGGAAATAAATTTAGGAATTAACAACCAGTAATACGGCCAGTTGACATTGACACATATATTATTTTAAAGTATTTACAAAAGAAAAGGAATAAGTTCATGTATTTCAACGCCCACCCTGACGGTAATATGTACAAACCCTGAACAAAAATAAACAATTAAAACGGACGGAAATGACTTTCGAGTAGTCTCAATCAGACGTAAAGAAAAAAAATGAAATCAATACTGGGAATTATCACGGTCGCAGTAAAAGTTTATTATTGAATTGTCTATTCTGTTGTTGAGTTAAAAATGTAACTTGCTATTTCGTTCGGAAGTATTATTTCGGTCGTAGCAAAAATTAACTGTTAAATTGTCTAATGGGTATTTACAATCAAATGTAATTGAATGCTTCAGTAAAGCAAAATATCATATGCGGTTGCAGAGAATGCGAGGAGACAGGTTCGGGACAATACTAATTCCAGGGCTGAAACCGGGACTCTATAAGAGGTTTAATCACTAGTGGTTGGAAAGTAAAACCAACTAACAACCGGGATAGTACATTATCTCTGAGTGAAGCGATCGTAATCACGAGCCGCTTCAAACTGGGGAATGATACTATTTAATGTCAATTAAATAACGGAGTTTTACATAAAATAAATTTAATAACCGGGATAGCACGTTATCTCTGAATGAAGTGATCATAATCACGAGCCACTTCAGACAGGGGAATGATACTATTTGAGTTCACTTACAATAACGGAGACTAACGCAAATGAGGGAAAATAAACTAATAACCGGGATAGCACATTATCTCTGAATGAGGCAATCGTAATCACGAGCCGCTTCAGACAGGGAAATGATACTATTTTAGTTCTGTTGAAATAACGGAGACTTACGCAAATGAATTTTTAGATATAATAAATTATTTAACGGTTAGTACTTTAAATAAACTAAAATGAAATTTATAAAGAACGGTGTATTCTAACAAGAATAAATTAAAGTATTTCTCAATCAAAACAAATTCCAATTCCTAACTCAACACGGAATATTCTTATTTAAAAATAAATCAAATTAAATCGGTCTCTGGCAAGAAAAAAAATGACAACAACTTTACCTAGCGGTAAAATCGCGGCTTGAAATAAATTTCGGAAATGTATCTATCGTATTAATTACTCGACTATTAGATTTGACGGTGTAAAAGCAAGTATGTTCGATAAATCGGTATATTAGGAACTAAAAATTTTATTTCATTCTCGGATCTCGTTCAGTCGTCGCTTGCCCTTCCACTACCAGTAAATCCCACCATTAAAACGCGCGCACGTAGATTATCTCGATGATTTTTGAACAGCGATAAAACTGATGATATATACAGGGCATATCCACGAAGTTAAAATTAAGTAAAAATCGAAATTAATACCCGGAATTAGTTAAAAAATAATGATAATGAAAATTGACTTCATTACAATATTTTTATTTTTTAAATTGTAAATAGTTAGTCACAATATATGTGTCAATGTTATCTGGCCGTATTGCTAAAGAATTACCAATTCCTTGCTTTACTTCCCCTTGAATTTTCAGCTAGTGAAATATTCTTTATAAGCGCAAGCGACGATTAAAGCCCGTCACTTGTGGCTACCGATTACCAGGGTCTACGTAATCTTGAATTTTTCATCTCCATCTCTGTAGCTACCCGAGTACTTTTGACGCCGCTTCGAGAGTTTGTGGAGTAAACCACAATAAATAATCTGGCGCCCAAGATCCGTCCGTAATCAGTGCCATTCGTAAGACACCCCCTTACAGTACAATGGACATATCAGTTTAAATTTTAAACAAACTAGATGATATTAATATTATACAAGCACGCGTTGAAGTCCAAAATCTGACTACTAGAAATGGCATATTCCTGAATTTCCTCGAGTACAGATCTATTTTATAAAAGATGTGATAGGTTCTTACCATATTTATTTAGGTCCATCATATATTCAAGACAAATTTCAAAGAGGAAAATAATGTTTTAGAAGTCGACGAGAGCCTAATTTTTTACATTTTAGGATCTATTCTAGGTTGGGAAACGTAATTAAATACATATATGTTGTGGTTGGCATACGAAGAGTAATTTACTGATAATAATGATCCAGTTATCTACTATTTTACTCTGTTATGTGTTAGGTTTCTTGGCTACACAAGGCACCAGAATAATATAAGATTTTCAACACGTCTACTAAATAGCTGTAGACCGATTGTTACCAGAAAATATCGATTCGGTTCTATAGTAAAAGAAAATTAATTTATACCATCATCTCGTATTTGCACTTAATACTTACCGTTAACGTCTTGCTTCAGTTACGTCGGTCATTTCTCTTTAGTTCGGGTTATTTCTTCATTCATTTAATATATGACTTTTGTTCTTCTCTTATCCCTTACCTCCTGTACCTTTGTGATTTTTTTAAGTTATGAGAACATTTATAACAATGTCAAAACAGAGAAAACGGAATCGCTTGTGATGAAAATTCTACATACATGCGTGACAAACTTGATGCCAGAAAAGATTGACCAAAAATGTAATAATCCCATGACATAATCAAGGGTAATATAACGAGACCTTGATAAATAGTCGACTATTTTTATTGTATCTAAATTTTTATTGTTTTTGGTACCAATTTGTCGAAACTGGTTTTTTCATTCCCCTTTTAAATTGTTTTATCTTTCATATTTCAAAGTTTCGGACATTAGTTTATATAGCAAACTGACTCAATTTTCATTGTTCTATCACCTTTCTAAAACATTTGTGTTCTTTTTTGACTCACCTTTTATAAACCTCATTCTATATTATATACATTTTTTTTTTAGAAAGAAACGGTTATCAATGTTATCAATATTTGTAATTCTGATTGTCGTTCCTCAACTATATTCAACAAATGTAGAAGACAGATCACAATGCATTTGCGTCCCACAACACCTCTGTGCAGACAACGATTATGGAGAAGGAAACTTAGACATTAGACTGGATGAAAGCGAATGCCAAAATTATTTCGACGTTTGCTGCGAAAATCTAGTGAACAACTTCTCCCAACAAACGAAACAACTAGCATTCAAAGGATGCGGCCTAAAAAACCCCATAGGAATATCTTCAAGGATTACGTCAGATTCTAAGCTATCACAATTCGGCGAACTTCCTTGGACCATCGTTATAATGCAAAGGGATGTAGAGAAGACAGAAAGGAATATGTATAAATGCGGTGGAAGTATTATTCATCCACAAGTTATCCTTACTGCTGCTCATTGTGTAATCGGAATAGATCCAAGCGTTTTAACAGTAAGAGCTGGTGAGTGGGATACAAAATCTCAAGATGAACCGATACCACATCAAGATTTACCTGTACGAGAAGTATTAATCCACCCAAACTTCCATGGTGGTTCATTAAGAAACGATATTGCATTGCTGTTTCTAGGAGAAATGATTGAACTTAAAGAAAACATTGGGATTATATGTCTACCTCCTCAAGGTTCTAAACTCGAAAACTCCATGTGCACGGCTGGGGGCTGGGGCAAAGACGCCTTCAGAAGAGGCAAACATTCGTCTATTTTAAAAAAAGTTGACTTACCTCTCGTGCCGAGAACCAAATGCGTGGCGGCTTTGAAGAAAACCAGGCTCGGTGCATTCTACAAGCTTCATAGAAGTTTCATATGTGCCGGAGGTGAAGAAAATAAAGATACATGTAAGGGTGATGGTGGAAGTCCACTTGTGTGTCCCATTCCTGGGTTACAGAACAAATTCTTTCAGATTGGGATTGTATCTTGGGGTATTGGTTGTGGGGAAAATGAAACGCCGGGGGTGTACGTGAATGTCCCTCTATTTACGAATTGGATTGACAAACAGTTGACTGCTAAAAATTTAGATAGTTCTATGTACAAATATGGAATAATTTAGTGACAATCTATTAAAACAGTGCTATTAAAATTATTTGTTCAATAAATGAATTTGATATTTCTTTGCTATTTATTTTAATAGTATTATTACCTGCCTATTAGATACTAAACGTAAGTAGAAAAAGTTTATTGTAATTACTTATAACGGACATTTTGTACAAGGTAGGCCACTTAAAAGTTCCACCCGCTCAGCATTGGGAATCCTATCTTTCAATACGGCACGTATTGAGATGCCTACCTTCGTTCCACATAATGCAATTCGTATGTAATGTCTCTCTCTATTTGATTCGTTACGTGTTCAGTACGCACATAAGAGTCCCTGTCCCGATCTTAGTTATTATACTCTTCACACAGTATCTGTGAAGAGTTATGCATTCGCTTCGTCCGTTTGTCCGATATCAATTTGAAAATTTCAGGAAAAATCAAGGTCTATAAGGGGACGAAGCCTATCGATTTTGAAAAAAAATATGAATAAAATTGGGGGTTAATGAAACACTCAAAAAATTCAACTTGAAATTTTTAGCAAAAATCAAGATTTATAATGTAATATAATTAACGTTTTAGTGAATTCAGAATATGATTGGCGTTAATTTGCAATAAAATTCGTTAATTTTGAAAATACACAAGAAATTTTGACTAGCTCTTTCGATATTTTATACCAAACATTACTTACCTTTAATCAAATTTGAAAATTAGACCATATATGGTTTTCTCAGTCGTGAATTCGGCTTTTCTAATAGACACTTTTGGGGAAATAGTTTTCAGAAAAAAAAAGGACGCCAATAATTATTTTTTATCAAAAAGACAATTAATTTAAAATTATATATAATTTAAGTAAAAAGAGAATCGTTGTAACCTTTAAAAATAAGATTCAACAAAAATATAAATGAATTTATTTATTTTAGTAATTGTGAAAATGCACTTTTGACAGTGAATTAAATATAGTTAAGTTTTCATAAACATAAATGATTTTATTTTGCTGGTACCAACACTAGATTAAAATCTCAATCGTACGATAATGTTATACATTTTAGCCTCGTGAACTTGCGTTACAATAATATTTGTAAAGATAGAAACTTATATCTGTTGCAGCAGCAGTTTCCATAGATTTTGTAGCTCTACGAGCCCAAACGTCAACCTCTATTTTCCGGTAAATCGATACTGCTCCGCTTATGTAAAAATGTGGTGTCTATTTTTATTTTCCAATATAGAGTTAAGAGATGGAAACAAAAGTTGCTTGTATTCGCTCCCTAAACACAAATTGTTGTTTTTTTTTGTACGAGATATAAATCAAACTTTTAAACAACATATTTTTAAAAATTTCCAACAATAAAAATTAATACAAACAATGTGCAATTCCAGCAACACAAAAGGAATTACTAAACCATATTGAATAAATTTAACTTTACTTTCAAAAAATAAACTTATAATTAACAAAAAGTAGAAATATATAATTTCTACCGAGATATATATATATATATATATATATATATATATATATATATATATATATATATATATATATATATATATTTTTACTTTCCTATCTGTATACAGATATAAGGAAAGTATAGGAATCATGATTTTTTTCGACCTCGAGTTTTCGACGGATTTTTACGTTTTGAGGTCCCCTGAATCCGTTTTGACTATTTTCGCGATGATGTCTGTGTGTGTGTGTGTCTGTATGCCGCATAACTCATGAACCGATACACATAAAAACACCAAATTGTAAACTTAAGCTTTATTCCAGCGTCTAATGAACTGATTAGATTTTGGGCAGAGTCGGAACATCTGGGGGGGTACTTTATGGGTGATTATTTTTATATTTTATGAAATATCTCTGTTATTTACGTTTGGAGGAGAAAATTCTTTAAATAAAAGTTACTTCTAATATAATTATCTATAATTTTTGTTCCAAACAAAATTTTCCTAAAATGATCCGTATTCAAGAAATTTGATAAAATGTAAAAAAAATAATTTTTTATAAAAATTGTTCAAATAAAACTTGTTTCTAATATAATTCTCTATAATTTTTGTTTTATACAAAATTTTCCTAAAATGGTCCGTATTCGAGAAATTTGATAAAATGTAAAAAAAATAATTTTTCATAAAAATTGTTCAAACAAAAGTTGTTTCTAATATAATTCTCTATAATTTTTACCCTATATATAATTTCTCTAAAATGGACCGTATTCGAGATATTTGAGAAAATATGTAAATTTCGAATTTTGAAGAAAACTCAAAAACGGATAAAGAAAAAAACATTAAATTTTTAACTTAAGGTTTATTTCGGCCTGACGTGAAATGATTAGATTTTGGACAAAGTCGGAACATCTGGGGGGGTACTTTATAGGTGGTCATTTTTATATTTTATGGAATATCTCTGTTATTTACGTTTGGAGAAGAAAATTCTTCAAATGAAAGTTACTTCTAATATTATTATCTATAATTTTTGCTTTATGTCAAAATTTCCTGAAATGGTCCGTATTCGAGAAATTTGACAAAATGTACAAAATTCTGATTTTTATAAAAAAATTTGAAATAAAAGTTGTTTGCGATATCAATCTCTATAATTTTTGTTTATACATGATTTTTCTAAAATGGACCGTAATGAAAAAATTGTAGGAAATTAAAATTTTTGAGTATTTTCGTTTTCCATGAATATCTATAGAAAAATGTTTGGAGGTAGATGTATGTGGACAATGTATATATTTAGTTTATCCTCTAAACATTTATAGAGATGCTGCAATAGGTTGTACAAAATAACCGGAAAAAGCCTATAATAACTAGATAGGAAAGTCATGTGTTGGACACATCAGATTTTTTTAATGACATTAATAACTCACCGCTACTCGCAGCCAAATACACTGGTTGTTCAAGATATGATGTGAAAATGAATTTCAAGAAAAGATTTGGACATCGACTTCCAACTAGAACTCCCACTTCGCGAAATTTCCCTTTCTTAGGAATATTGCGGGCGGCGATAATTAAATTTTAAATTATTCGAGTACTATTTTTATTCAGGATGTCACATATTCAAAATAACATTTTTAAAATGTTATAATAAGGAGACAAAGCCTATTGACTCAGAAACAAGAAACGGTATCATCTTCATTCTAGTTATTTAATATATTCTAATCGATTTTTTTTTGAGAGCTCCGAACAAGAACTTTCCTATAATTTTTTTATATCAAAATTAAAAAAAATAATTTTTACAGTTCGAAATAATAAATGTGAAGGTTAGCACATATGTTGGTGCGAGCAGTTTTTTGTTGTAAGATATACTTTTGACATCAAAAAAATAAACATGTTATAGATTAATTCATTCATTTAATGCCAATAGAAAACCTAGAACACGCAGAAAATCAAAAACAATAATAGAAGAGTTGCTAAGGATTCTTTTGAAATCAGCAAAGACAAATTTGTAAAATAATTATTTTGTCTAAATTAAAATCTACCGATCTACATTAATACCATATACGAGAACGCCACAAACTATGGATTTAAGCATTGATGCAAAAGTACTAACGTCTTACATTTTTGTGCAAATGGAAATTACCAAACAGCGTAGGAGCCATTAGGGTTTTGGGCATAAGTCTCTTAAAGAAGTAAATGTTAAATCGACCTTCAATATTCAAATAATTTTGAAACACAAGATGTCAAGAGGGCCTTTGCTAATATGGTCACGAAGAATACAGTGTGTAGATAAAGTGTAGAAAAAATTCAATAATTTTCTAGAAAATCTTCAGGCCCGTTCATTTTTATTTTTGACAGCACATTTTTACAGTATTCATCGATTTTCAGGAAATTACGTCATCCATATTTTTTTTAAATAGTACCTAAACTCCAATTTCGATATGTTTTTACAACTTTCAAGAAAACAAAAATTTAGGAAATTTCACTAAATCCCATTTCTCCGACTGCCTCATCCTTTATTTGAACCCCTGAAAATATTCTGAATAAGATAAAATATGAAAAGTAAAAGAGTTATTCATAGATATTATATTTAGTCTTATAATTACAGTTTTATATAGACGAAAACCAAATATATGTTTAACCGTTACTCACAGTAATGAGTAAGTGTTAATCTAGCTGTAATATTCATAGATTGTAATTCTGTTAATAACAATTTACAAGCATAAGGCATAGTAATACTTGAAACTTGTCCAGAACTCTTGCAACTGTTGCACCATCCGCAATATCCTAGGAGGCCACATTTGTTGCATACATCCACCTCACATATATCACTTGATACCATTAGACGTTCAACTAGCATCATACTAAAAAAGATATATTAAGAATCACTGGATGATAAAAAAAAAAACTAACTACTACCTTGCCCCATAGCCTATAAGACAATCACGTTCCATCTCGCCTAGCCTAAGTCCTCCATCTCTGCTTCTACCTTCAGTTGGTTGTCTAGTTAAGACCGCTCTTGGACCGCGCCCTCTTAAAAACAAAAATTTATACAAACATAATTTATTAATAAATTAACCACTAATAAATTGATGTCCTAGAAGCAATAACATTTATCAAAATTTGTGGTTACGAAGAAAAACCGTTATAATATTATATAGATATATTATTTATTAATGAAGTATGCCAAACAGTTACATACAACATTATGTATGTATAGCATGTTTACTGTCTTGGCCCTTGAATTCTTTTCACATTTTTTTTTAAACACATACATGTTATTGCTTTTTTCTTCAGATTTTTTACTTGAGGTATTGCTTCTAGGCCATCGAAATGTTATTAAAAGTGCTTTTTTACCTTCCATGAATTTTGTCTTGTACCATGTGCTTTAATTTTTGATAATAAACAGGTCCGGAGTAAATGTAAGCTTCAAGTGGTTCTCCTGTTATTCCCGAATAAAATACATCTTTCCCTTGATAGTTGAATCCGTGCTTAACTAGTTCTTCACTTACGTCTGTAACTTTTGATCCACCAAACGCAGTTCCATAATGAAATTTACCTTAATAACAAATTTATGAAATAGAACTATAAGTAACTAATATTTATTTTATAAAATATGTGTTTACCCTCAACGAGACCAGCTTTTCCAGCTAACAATTCTATTAATTTCCCCACAGTCATTCGAGATGGAAAACCATGAGGATTCATAATAATATCTGGGCAAATACCGTATTCATTGAAAGGCATATCTTCTTGTTCAACAACTAAACCTGTAAATGTATTAACAATTTTTGTAATGATATATTTGAATTTCAATTTTTTATATTTCTTACCAACAACACCTTTTTGACCATGCCTAGAACTAAATTTGTCACCGATTTCTGGTCTTCTAGTTTGTCTAAGCAGTACTTTTAATAAAGTAGTATCTTCTTCGTTTGTGCTGATCAATACTTTCTCAATATAGCTAGGTTCATCATTTCGGTATGTGATTGCACAGTCTTTATACTCAATAGAAGTATTAGTACTGCCAGGGACTGTAGATATTGTCGGAATTGATTTGTTTATTAGCACCTATTATACAAAACGATTACATAAATATTCATAGTTAATTAATTGGAAAATATAAATTGTAGCAGTTTCATGGGCTAAATTATTAAAATATGGGCTTCCACAAAATGTCCGAAAATGCTTATTGTGACTAAATTTTATTTTTAATTAATTTTAAAAATGTATATTTTAAATCCGAATGGGCATTTGTAGATTCAATTTCGTATCAATTATCTACTTGTATTTATCAAGGTGCTAGTAAGACTTTTTTTTTATTTTTAAATAGTAAACAGTCGGCTGTAGTGGTGGTATCTCCCACTCCGAATTGCCGGGCTTCGAGCTTGCCTACTGAAAAGGCATAAATAAGATGACAAGTAAAATTTTGCTCTCTTTGATTGCTGACCACCGTAGTGACTTTTCTACAGTGTTTACCGTCGTATCCGTTAGTTTTTCGTTTTCCCGAGCGTACCAGTGACTGTGTTACTCCCGTTTACCAAGGTAGGAAATTTTCTAATTTTCGTTTTACAGTTAGTTTGGGACATCCGTTTAATAAGCCGGAGAATTTTGATTCCTATTCAGTGTTTTCATTTTACCCCTTAGTGGGAAACCGTTGGCAATTTTTACTTGAGGCTTGATTTATGAGTTTTCTCAATTTCGACGACTCTATCCAATCTCTTTTAAAAAACGCCCTAGTTAACGCTGGAGTGAGAGGTTCAACCTGAGTTTGTCATTCTTTTTATCATTGAGGAAGCCTCTTATTTTATTTTCTTTTTCGTTCTTGAGTTATGAGTTTTCTCAATCTCGACCACGCTATCTAGTCTCCTTAAAAGAGATCCTAATTAATTACCGTTCCTTACTTCACGTTTTGTTTATTTATTTAATTTTATTTAAATAATTCCGTTTCTCGTCACCAACTAATTTTTAAACGAAGCCCGACTTTCTTTCTCTGATTCGAGAACACCGCTTTGATCGGCGCTAGCAAATCTCCAAAGGATTTGTTGCCCGAATTTTAATGCCTTCATCATATAATTTCACCTCGTTAGCAGTGACCGCCTGGAAATATTTTTAACTACACTGAGTTTATCTTAAGTACACTTTGGTGTACTACAGGGTCGCAGAGCAAACTGTGTATTACCAAAACTAGCGCCTGAGCAACCCCTATTCTGAAATCACCATCTTAGCGCCACACAGACAAGCCTGTCACACTGTCATTAAATAGAGCTGAACGATATAGCGTTTGTTTTACTAATTTATCTCACTTGTGCGGCCTGGCGCCAACGTGGCTAGTTTCGCGAAAAAAAAAATACATAAAATGAGAACATTTTTAAAAATAACTGATTTACCTAAACTGTGCATGTGCAATCGGTAAAATTTAAATGGCTCCGGGCCGTACAGGTTAGGTTGATTGGTTTTTGTCATTGTATGTATGTTTTTTTGTAAAACTAACCTCGGTCTCTCCAGAGCGCACAGGTTAGGTAAGTTTGCAGTTTTATAATTTTCTTCAACTGTACCTGTCTGTTTTGCACTAATTCCCCGGGAGCAACAATTCCATCATTGTCTAAACAAGAATGCGCCGACGTTGGTTTGCCAGTAACGGTATCAATCAGTGGGCCTTGAATCCTGTCAAATGTCTGGTTTGGATATCGTTTCATTATGCACTTGGAATTTTTATAAACCAAGCAACGACCAAACCCTCTATCAACAGAAGCTTTATTTAAAATCAAAGCATCTTCAATATCATAACCGCTGTAGCTCATAACTGCTATTGTAGCATTTTGACCTGCAGGAAGTTTATCAAAATTTGTTAGTTCGATGGTTTTCGTTTTTACCATAGGAGCTTGTGGATATACAAGATTGTAGAGTAAGGTGTCCATTCTGTTTTTTTGGTTATAGCCAATTGTACCTAAAATCATTTTGTAGAGATTCAATAATGACGAACATTGAAAATATATTAAAAATTACCCATAGCTTGTTTTCCCATAGCACACTGGTATGTGTTTCTAGGAGACTGATTATGATGTGGGTATGGAACTAAACCAGCACAAACACCGAGTAAAGTAAATGGTTCTATTTCTAAATGTGTTGTCTTCATGTTTATAAATTTTTCATAACAAGCTATAAAACTGTCATTTTCTTCATTTACATCCAAAAGTTCAATCAAACCTATATGTGGAAATTAATGAATTTAGTTCATCTAATTTTTGATCATCAAATATCAAGTTTTCACTTTCCTGCCTGTATACAGATAAGGGAAGGGAATAATTATTTTTTCGACCTCGAGTTTTCGACGCATTTTTACGTTTTGGGGTTCCCTGAATCCGTTTTGACCACAGAATTAGGATATATAGAAGGATAATGAAAAAGACGACTTATACATATTTAATTGCCGCGTTTGAGAATCCACATCGGATGCATCTGAGATGTTGTGAATTTTTTATCACGTGATAGAGAATTAGATCTGAATGTAGATGTAATAAACAAACGCTCTAGACTTTATTTGGTCACGTGACAAATGTCAATGACAAGTTAGAAGTTTATACTTATTAAATTTGACTTTTGAGACTACAAATCAACCTAAATTTGAAATATAAACAAAAATTAAGCAAACTAATCACTTTTATATTCATGCTAGCATAAACAAAGGAAAAATTGACAAACAAGGCTTCACAGAACACTTACTTTCTGGCATGGAACGAACATCTCATTCACATCTCATTCCAAATCGAGATGTAAAAAATGTAATCTGAACAGGTACATCTGGGATAAAAAAACGCAGATGTAGATGTAGTAGATGTGTCCGATGTGGATAAAAAAACGCTCGAGATGTAAAAAATGCATCCGATGTGGATTCTCAAACGCAGCAAATGTTAAGCGATATTACAAACATAACGTGGAATTTCCTTAGAATATAAGGTAGTAAGGAAGGAGTGTGTGTCATATTTCCAATAGGAAACGTACGTGACAAAGTTAACCATTTATGTCTCATTGATTATGGTGTAGTTTCATTGGGAAAATAAAAAGCAATAATTGGTTATTTTTATTAAAATGAATGGATCAAAATGGATAAATTTAGTTTTAAAGTAAGTCATTACCGAAAAAGACAGAGATATGAATCATGTCCTTGATAACTATGAACGACACTGAATTAAATCCAAACTGACACGTTAATTTTTTCCAAGATCTACTTTAGAAATATTTTATATGGATCTACATACCATTTTGTAGAAAATCTTCAAATCCTCTTATACCTTTTTCAAGTTCTTTAATGTGTTTATCAGTTACAAGAGGTACACCATTTTGAACTATAATGTATGGTCTGCACAATCTTCCACTGTCTGAACTTATATATACACATTTATGTAAGTGACTAGGGTAAATAGATACATAGCCAGAAATGTATCCTTTTCTACGAGTCATCCTAAACACTTTGATAAGTTTTTTGTAATTTTTGGTGATTCCTAATATATTACCTGAAATATTTTAATACTGTAAAGGGAATTTCAAAATATTCAATATATTTACCATTTAGAAAGACAATGTAAGTTGATGGTGAGTGTATTGCAAAACTGGCTACCATATTAATATCTTGGACTCCTGAATTTCTGGCTAACCTTATTAAAGGATATTCATCCACTTCAGTTGTAATGTGTGTCATGAGAGCCAAATTTTTCACTAAACCACAACCCTACAAAATCAATAGTAAGATTTCCAATAAAATTCAAAATTTGCTATTGTAAGGAACTACTATTAAGCTTTTATTAGTGCAATAATAGTTTAAAATTTGGCAAGAATATTCAAATGCACTACAAATTTGTTACCTCTCCTTCAGGTGTATCACTGGGACACAACATTCCCCATTGACTAGGTTGAAGAGATCTTGGTCCAGAAACTTTTCTTGTTTTTTCAAATTGAGAATTTACTCTAGTCATCATCCCTAATGCTGAAATGTAACTAAGCCTTGACAAAACTTGAGTAACTCCCAGTCTTTCCATTCGAAAACGTTTGATTGTCCAATTTCCCTAATAAAAATTAACACTATTATTAGTGTGATAGCTACTTGTTTTAGGCATGCGTTATTATGGCACATACAGTGATGACGTATAAGTTGGAATACATTCGATATTTTTCTGTCTTAACAGTATATTTTAATAAAATGCTTCCAAAGGTCAATTTTTATTTTTAACTGCACATCTTATGCTACAATTGGATGTACAAACTGTGTTACCAAAACTGGCGCCCGAGCAACCCCTATTCTGAATTCACCATCTTAGCGCCATACAGACTTCCTGATTCATGGTAGGTGGAATCAGAAGCCTATCACAATATATTCAAAGGTAACTTATTTAAGTCGCACCAGTTGTACAGCGTTGTCAAGTCTTGTTGCAAGATATCGCAGTCTGACACTGTTTCTACAGCTTTGTAAAATTTACAATCATCCGCAAAAAGAACCTTTTTGATTTTAATTAGATTGGGTAATCATTTATAAATAGACAAATTACTACGTTGAGGAGCGCCACTTGTAGCTAAAAATTCATATGACTGGTACCCTCTGTATTCAACAAAAAGTATACGATTGGAGAGGTATGACTGGAACAATAATTGTAATATATATGCATCTATAAGTCTACTTTTTTGAGAAGCACATTGTGATTAAGTTTCTTGAAGGCCTTTGAGAAATTAATATAGATTAAATCAAGCTGTAATTTATTATCGATAGTTGGACAGGAATATTGAGTAAAGGAATATAAATTAGTAGCAGTTGATCTTTTGGACACAAATGTAGTTGGAAATACCATCGACTACACTTAAGGATTTAGGCTTTAATATTTTTAAGACACATAGTGTGTCGATATCTCTCAAGGTCTTTAAAGAAATTATAGAATTGTTCTGAGATTGGAGCTGTTTGTTTCATTATTAACGTCACTGACCTCGTAGACACTATGACAAAAGTTTACAATATCTTGGGGAGAATTGTATTAGCTTTTTTATGTTAGAAAGACCAAAATTTTTTTGTATCTTTTAAAATTGATTCTTGTGCTTTTTGGTCATATGCAACTTTTATTTTCTGTTTATATTTTTAAATTGTACACGAAATATTTCAGAATTTGTCTTTTTCAGTTTTTTTATTTTATTTAATAGATAATATTTCAAGAAAACCAAGGAGGGTAGATTCTAACAAAGTTTTGAACGACTGGAAATTGAAAATTGAATAAACTACAGCATAAAATTGTTCCAAAGCTTCGTTTTTACATCACTAATTTCATTTAGTAAGGACCAATTATTGGTCTGACATAAATGAACATATAAATGAGGAAAATTTGTCTTTCTAAAGCTGTACCTAATACCGTTGCAATTATACTCAAATACTGTATTTGATTTTGGAAGGCCAGCTTCGATTCTTAGTCCAAAGGCATTATATCAGAAATTTTGAATAAAAATTTTTATTGAAATTACTAGACTAATAAACATGTTATTATAAATAATCATATAACAAAACCCAATGATAAAGATATTAAAATGATTAAGAATTTATTAGGTAATTATATTATTCCTTACTGTTGATATGGCAAATACTAAACAGCTGGTTATTAGATCAGATCTCATGTATTTAACTACATCAAATTGTGTTGCTCTTATTTTTGGAATGGTTTTCTCAGCAATCGCTTTTAGTTCCCAGTTAAATCGTTTAAAGACGTCTTCAAACATTAAAGAAATAAGCGATCCAGCTAATTCTAACCTTTTGTTACCATAATAATCCCTGTCATCTAACAACTTATCATCTGTTTGAGCCTCTATAACTTTTTTTACCTAAAAGTACAGGAAAATGTATAAAAACCTAACTTAATATAGGAAGGGGCTATAGCAAGTATTTATATATTTAAATACTTTAATGAAATGCATTGTTTACATTATTTTTAAGCTATTAAATTTCCTAATTTTAAAAATAAAATTTACCATTAGTCCTAAATAAATAGCCTTTAATCTAAAATTGTAATCTTCAACAGGAACATGAGCTAAAACAGTTGTAGCCAATAAATCCCTGGCCTCATCTGCAGGCGTTTTTATTTTGGAAGCAGAAGTAACATAACGTTTAACAACCAATTTTGTTCCTAAGTATACCAAGGCTGAATCTTGAGTATATATTTTTAGATTATGACATTCTTCTAATGTTGGAGTTAATTTGTGGACGTCGGTTATTCCTATTAATTCACATATTTCCTGGTCATTTATCACATTTAAAGCTTTGAAAACTACAGAAATAAGAATTGGCTAAAAAACAGGTACATATTACTCATTCAAAATATATAAAAAATTGTTAAAAGAACTAGGCTCACATCTGTAAAAGTATTATGACCCATATAGTATTTATTCCCTTTAACAAATACATTAGTTCTAGATTTCTTCTCATGAGTAGAACTGGTTACTTGACATTGAACTCCATATTTTGCTTCTTCAACGATCATTCTATTTTTTGTTAATTGTTCCTGAATTAAAATTACTTTTTCTTGACCCTTTACAACAAAGTAGCCCCCTGGATCCAATGGGCATTCATTCATTTTTGCTAATTCATATTCAGACTTACCACTTAATACACAGTTTGAGGACTTTAACATGATAGGCATCCTGAAAATTTATTTTAAGATAGAAATTGTTGAGAAAAAATAGAATTTTGGATTTATGTCATATTTCAGATCATGGATCTATAAAATAGCCATTATAAAAAATAGCTATTTATGAAACAAGTTGTAATTTCTAGTAACTACACAACAAGTTATGTTCTATTTTCCAACTGTACCTTATTACATCAAAAATAAATTAAAAAAAGTTTTGATTAAAAATTATAGAGCAAGTCTAAAAAGATTATTTATACTACTTTTTACCTTCCTATTAAAAGACCTGTTTTTGAAAGTCTCTGCGTTCCTCTGGTATACTCAATGTCTACAGTTATTGGAGCCGAGTAGGTCATATCTCTTAACCTACATTCATGTGGTGTAGTTGGCTTACTAATATTAAAACCTTCATCGACATCTGGTGTTCCAACTTGCACATTTGTGTATCTATTGCACATGAAGTTAATAAACAAAATTTATTGATTAAAAAGACTGTTTAAACTTACTTGATATAAAAAAGTGGATCTGCATCGCAAATTACTTTATTATTTGCCTCAACAATTTTTTTAATTTCTACTGCTATAAAGTAGTTAAAAGAATCGATGTGTTGTTTTACCAAACCTCTTATTTTTAAGAATGCTGGAACAAGTTTCCATTTTTCCTGAAAATGATAAGAATAGAGAACAGATAAGAAAATAACGTAAATTATGGAACAATTCTCATTTATTGCAGAAATTTTCATTTTAAATTTAATAATATTAAGGCTGTTGGTTTTAAGGTACCTCAATTTCTTTAACTGGCTTTTTGTAATAAGTAGCATCTCCATATATATTTTTATCGTAGTAATTCATATCTAATATCTAATAATTTTAAAAAGTACAGTGGAAAACTTAGGTTATGTACTAGTCAGAGAACATGGAGTCACATAAACACAGAACACATAAATAAGGACAAGTTAGGACAAGTTGACTAGTTCAAAGTTCAAAGCACAGATCGTTCAAAGTCAAATGTTCAAAGTTCAACGTCTACACAGAACACTGAACGTCTATGTTCAACGTTCTACTTCTTTCGGTTTTCCGCTATACACCAGGGGTGCTATTTTCAAAGTCGAGAGAATTCATTTCTCTCGAGAGAAATGTCATACGTCAACGTAAAACAGTATTTTTAGGGTCCTAAGGGCCAGTGTAAACTCACCGATTGTTTCTCACGGTTTATTTAGAGATAATTAATATCCTCCTAAGAATTTTAATCCTCGAGGCCTTTAAAAACAGCGTTTCCACATTGACGTATGACATTTCTGATGAGAATCTTGAGAGAAATGAGTACTCACACGGTTTGAAAATAGGTCCCCGGGGGTGCTATTTTCAAAGTCGAGAGAATTCATTTCTCTCGAGAGAAATGTCATACGTCAACGTAAAACAGTATTTTTAGGGTCCTAAGGGCCAGTGTAAACTCACTGATTGTTTCTCACGGTTTATTTAGAGATAATTAATATCCTCCTAAGAATTTTAATCCTCGAGGCCTTTAAAAACAGCGTTTCCACATTGACGTATGACATTTCTGATGAGAATCTTGAGAGAAATGAGTACTCACACGGTTTGAAAATAGGTCCCCAGTTTAGGGTTGGACCACAAAGCGCACAAAGCACAATTTATAAACAAAACTCAGCTGAGTCGGACTTGGGTAAGTCGTCTTTGAACGAAAATCGAAGTTCGGTTATATCGCGTGAATTTAGAGATGGGTAGTAAAAAATCAGTAAATATACATAACAGTTACATATTTGCAAATATCCATCTCTAAATTCCAGTGTAACACTGGAATCAATTGGAAATTTAGAGGCGTTGTAACCGAACTTCGATTTTAGCTCAAGGACTATTTACCCAAGTCCGACTCAGCTGAGTTTTGTTTATAAATACGGATCATAGGCCATAGAGCATAGAGGTTCCACCTGATTGACCCACTGAATTATATGTATACTGAATCATGTGATCAAAGATTCACATCTCATCGGCATAAAACACTCCATTGCTCTTAAATCAATTTATGGTATCAGCAAAGAAGTAGAGAGGGTAGAACGATAAGGTACCGTCTGCGCATCTATCACGAGTGTAGAAATTATGCGTGATTCAGCCTTCCACTCTTACTCACGTAAATAACAAGGAGAGGTTGCCCTAAAGCACTGTAAACAAATTCCAGGATTGACTTTATTCAGCGATAACTGTTCATGTTCAGCTCTCTTTTTGTTTGTGTTTTGGCAGTTGTAAGCTTTTTTGGCGTCATTTCTTTGTTATCTTGCTTATATTTGTGATTTTTCATGCTTTTATTCTGATTTAGTATTAAATTATACTTGTTAATTATTTTTCGATGCACTATTTTATAATTGTTGCACAAAATGTTGTTAAACCGTCCCTGAATCTTGTTTACAAAATTTGCAAAACGAAATTGTGCATAGTGTCCAGACTTTTTCATTGACAGTTATCATTCTACCCCTCTCCACTTCATTGGGTATCAGGCATTTTTTACATCAAATAAAAAAAGACTCTTTGTGAATCACTATAGTTTTGTCCATATTTAATTACGCTGATGCTCTCTATGGTCCATGTTTAACTGTCCAATATAAGAAAAAAATTCAAAAAATACAAAACTAATGCCTCCGTTTAATATTTGGGATTAGAAGACGTTGCAGAATCTCTCATAAACTACTTTGTTTTACAAAATTATGTATACCAAAAAAACCGTCCTACCTCCATAGAAAAATAACATTTCGGACAGATGTTCATAATTTAAATATTAGAAATAAGGGATCGTTAACAACGCCTTCTTTTAAACTTGAAATATTTCGACGGTCATTTAGTTATCAGATCAGCTATATTTTGAATGGAATCTCCCAAAAAATTGTAAATCTTCAAATTTATTAAAAGAAAATTTATTTTATCATCAAAATACATAACATTATTATATTTTTTTTTTGTTTCTTACGCCCTACCTAGAATTAAAATTAAAAAAACTGTAAATTATAATTTATATATTTTTGTTTATAAACTTTTGTGAATAGATGGGAAACTCCACGGAAACTCAATGGTAAAATTCTGAGTCGATGTGCTGCCATCTATCAAATTGGAGTGGTACTAAAATTTAATATGGCCGCCACGAGTGGGCTTTTTAAAATTTAACTTTGTAGTAGCGCAAAAATACAGATCAGTGGTTTCAAATCATAAAACAACCATATTGACAGTCAATATGGTTGTTTTATGATTTGAAACTATCAAATATTTTTCCAATTTTTTTGCTTTACATATTTGATTTTCTTCATTACATTTTTGCGCTCTACAAAGTTAAATTTCAAAAAGCCCGCTCGTGGCGGCCATATTGAATTTTAGTACCACTCCAATTTGATAGATGGCAGCACATCGACTCAGAATTTTACCATTGAGATTCCCATCTATTCACATCACATACTTTGATTACTATACGAGGCAAGAGAGAGGTCCGACTCGCCCAACATAGGGCGCGGCCATTTTGAACCCTGTGAGACAGTTTACAGCTAAAGAATCAGATCGCTCACTCTGCGTCGGCACTTTTGATCTCAATGTTTCAGTTTATACACTGTGCAACTCGGATAATACAATATGTGACAACCGCCTATAATAAAACAGCAGTCTTCTGCGTATCCTGAATTTGTATCCCTGGAGTGGATGTTATTTTGGAACTTTCAACTGGTCCGAGTGAGCTAACTGATTCTTTAGCAATAAACTGTGACTTCAAAAATAATATTCACTGACACTGACAGCAGCAAGCAAAATATCAGGTGCGTTTTAATCATCCGCTTCTGCTTCCGGAATTGTCGGTTTAGTCGTTTTAACCTGTCAGATTAAAACAAGAAAACTGACAATTCCGAAACAGAAGCGGATGATTAAAACGCACCTATTAAAAATATTGCGCCAAGATATAGGCAACACGTAATAAGGGTTCAAAATGGCGGAGTTTTCTATCTCCTTTTAAAAGGCACTCAGAAAGCTGCGCAGTGCGACCATTCTCCGTATAGTAAAAGAAAATCAAAGTATGTGATTCACATTAGTAATCTATGACTAGCTGTTTTCTTCTGTGGATCCGCACTTTTCTTCTTCTTTGATATGGCCTCTTATCCGATAAGGACTTACTTGAAAAATCAACCGTCTGCCAGGTGGCGCTGAAACTCTTATCACATGGGAGTCACATTAGTAATCTATTGGTGTATCCACTTTACAGTCAAGGTCAATGCGTGTTAAGTTTCATACCCCCGCCGTCGCGCGTCGTGAGGTCGCCACCTTCACCGTTTATGACACGCTTGTGCAGCGTTGCCAATGGCAAGAATTTTACCCGATTTTTGGGTATTCTTAACCAACCAATGAATTTTTTATGAATTTTGATTTATAATTTCGACATACATTGACCAGTGACCACCATGGAGGAAGGATTAATGTGATCACATTACATTTGAGATAATGGATAAACTTTCAGTCATGATTGTAAAGTAAATAATTGTGTTCCAGGTTGTTACATTAATTTAATGGTAAAATACGTCTTCTTGCTAACACAAGATACCTATAATATAAGAAATAAGAAAAACCAGATAAAACTAAAAAAATGAAACCACTTAAATCTTTTTTATTTTATCTTAATAATTTGCATGTACCTTTTATTATTGCCTTATTTTTAGTTAAAACAATACCCGAACTTTACATTTTATAAATAAATCGTTATAAATATAATAAATGGTTTCATTTCATAAAAAAATGTAGCACCAAAACATGATTAAACCATTATAGTTACGATTTGTTTGCTTATTGTAATAAAATCTCAACTTTAATGGCACACATAATATCCACGTTCAAAGCGTGCTTCAAAAAAATTATTCAGACATTCAAAAATTGTCACCATCGTTTAGTTTATACCCCCACCACTGTGAGGGCGCTAAAATCAGCTACGAAAATTATACATATATAAAAGGTCTGTGCATGGGAGTTACAATTAGTTTACCAATCCTTGATGAATTGTTAAATCTTAGCAAAAAAGCCCATTTAATTAGAAAATGTCAGACTCGTTTTAGGAATTAAAAACAATTATAAAAATATTGTTTCCTTACTACATAAGGAAAGTCCGAACCTGTTACATCGTAATTAACCAAAGCGGTAGCGGTTCTTAACTTACACATAAAATCAACCCTTACGATTATTTACCAGGGGAAATTGAATAAAAAATAACCAAAAAAAAATGTTTATTCCTTCCAATAATACAACATGTTTATAAACTTGGAAAATAAATGTAAAAATATTCGTAACTATGGTCTGAAATGATCAACAATTTCATTAGGAGGTGTACTTGGCCTTTGTACTCTGGAAGGCAACTTCAAAGATACTGTTTCTGTCTTACCAGCTGCACCTCTGCCCAATACAGGTCCGGGTACTCTCCTCTGGCCGTTTTCGCGCTGCAAAAATTCCAATAGACTCATACTAGGTAGCCAAGATTTATCCTTTATGGCTGTAGCCACAATGTTTCTGTTCGGTTCCATGTCATATGCTGCACTTTCAAGGCCAAAATGTTCACAGTATTCATGAATGAAATGCCTTTTATCGCGATTCATGGATTCAAAAGAGTAAGATCTACTTTTCTGTTTGCTATTTTTGGCTAGTTGAACAAGTTCCGTTAATTTATCATGAACTCGTTGACAAAAATGTGGGTCTTTCTTTCCCCATTGTCTTAAGAAATCTGAATATCTTGGAGTTAATTTTTGACTTAAATCTGGATTACGTATTTGTAAACCTATAGCTAGTCTTCTATTTCTTTCCAAAACGCGACATTCTTCTGTACATTCTAATCTAAAATGATAATATAATTAAATTTCTAATGTTTTGAACAACACTGTTAACCTACATCTTTAAAACTGAAGGTTTTTTTTTAACATTCAATATATCAGTTAAATCAATGGTCGAACTGGTTGACAAGCTTCCCATTTTCTCTTTCAATTGGGCCATTTGGATGTTAAGAAATTCATCAGCAACTTCTAAGCATGTTCTTGTGCTTTTCTGTAAGCCACATTCACAAGTAACTTGTACATTTTGCTTGCAACTGCTTTCGGGGCAAGGTGGATCATGACAAGGCCTAAAAAATAAACAATTATTTTCGATACTTAAGGCATTACAAATAACTACAAATTGTCGTTTTGTATTTATTGATAATAATAAGAGATAATAATTTTTTCTGTCGGTAAATACATATTTATAAAAGGATAAAAAAATTAACAGAACCAAAATGAAAGTTTTCAGTGCCTACCTGCCACATGGGTGCCCACACAATCCTCTTGGTACAGTACAAGGTTGTTTACATGGCGTAGGGCAACGCCCATCATGACATGGTTTAACACACTTATGTCTTCCACATGGCATATTTTTTCCACATGGTAAACCACAGCTGAAGTTCTCTTGGTGACAAGGAATGGCCGATCTTTGTTCATGGTGTCCATAACACCATCTCTTGCAAAGAACGGTACAAGGAGGGCAAAGCCCTGTATGACAAGTATGATTGGAATCATGCCCACAAGGCCTCGGCCTTGAACAAGGCTTGTTGCAATTCGGAGGTTTAGTACCACAGGGAATAGGTGGGTACAAAACGCTAGCACCACATTCGCAATACAATTCTTCAAAACTGGTTTCCATACAAGGTGGGCAACGTCCAGAATGGCAAGTACGTTCGCACCTATGTTGTCCACAGGTGAGAAGATGGTTGCATGGAAGAGGGCATACATGGTCTATTTCTATGCAGCACAGTTGATTGCATCTGTGTTTTCCACACAAACGTTTCTGTAAAAATAATGTTAATTGACTAAATTTCTTGAAATATGTTAATACAAATAACTTTAATTCTTACTTTTGTACATTTCTTCTCACATCTGGCACCATCAGCTTTTGTAGTGAGTTCTTGACATGGTATTTCTTTGTCCATGTGACCACATCTGCATCTAACCACGGTAGTTTTAAGACACGGAGGACATGGTCCTTCATGACAGAGATTTTCGCATACATGTGGAGAATATGGTTGACCACATTTCAACATTTTATCACATATCTAAAAATTGTTTTTAATCAAATAACATATACCATACTTTAGAAAATAGTGCTTGCTCATTTCAAAATTCCTGTCTTTTCCTGAACTCTGCAGAGATTAATATTGATGTTTAAAATTTTAGTTGCGCCCATAGGGCAATTTTTTTTTAATTATGAAAATGCAAACGGTTAGATGAAACTTTGGTTAAACATGAAATTAATTAAAAAACGTCTTGATGCAATCCCAATTCAATCGGTGGATCCATCAATGAGATTAAAAACTTGCCCATATTAAGATCGCCAATCCCACAAAAAAATATTTTAGGATATGTTTACAATATAAAATATTATGAATGCTTGATTTTATTATTAATATATTTATGTTTTATAAGTTTTATCGTGATCTATATAGATTTTAATTAATACACAGGGTGTTGTGATATTAGAACAACAACACTCTACTCAGAGATACTGCAAGTCCATTTGCTTTCTTTACTGTTTAAAACAAAAAGTAACTAGATTTTGGCATTTCCATGTTATAATTGGACAAAAGATAAAATTTGCCTGGATTAATCCTGAATATGGTGCTTAAACAAAGCGATATTATAATAAAAAGTAGTATCAATCAACAAAAGTAATCATTCATTATTTATAACAAATTAAAACATTTGATCATGTATATCAAAATAAAGTACCTAATCTCATTAGAAATGTTTAGAAATTACACAGTTTTAGATAATGGCATTGGATCTACTTTAATAATTTTTCTCTCGAAATCGGAGATGAATTAAAAAAAATTATGAATGAAACCTATATTTATTCTTAAATATTTATCAATTTCTGAAATAAAAAAAATTGAGGAGAATTCCCCATTATTATTAATTTAGGTATAACGGCAAGGTAGTGGTGAGTCTAAATCAGTCAGTTGTGAAGAAAATGATATTGATTAAAAAAAATTAAATAAGATGTTCTGCACCAGTATGCAAATGCATGTTAATAAAGTTTACACTGCTAAGCAACAACAAAGTGCAACTGAAATAAGAAGATATATGTAAACTGTAACTCAAAATTCGATACTCTTTTATCAGATGACTTGGGGTATTTCTATCACTTTATGTAGAAACATGAACCCTGTAATAGTTTCTGAAATACAGTATGTTGAAATTTTAAAATCAAAAATAACAATTTGCCATACCTGAATTAATAAATGTATAATAGTTTGGTTAACAGTTAACATTAACCATCCTTTGCATTCAAAACAATGTAAAAAGTCTATTTCATAAAAGTTCATTACCTTAGTACAACATGGAATGGGGTCCAAACAGGATAATCTAGGTGTATTCAGTGGTGTTTTCCCACAAGGGCAGCTTGTTATAACATTAACATCTTTTGGACAGACCTCACAAGGTCCTTCGTGACACAATTTTTGGCAATAGTGATTCCCACAGGACAACATTTTACCACACGGTTCTCCACAGCAATAAAAAACCTCTCCTTTATATTTTTCACAACATGGTACTTTCCTGCCTTCTTTGGCACAATAGCATTCTTGTAAGATAGTTTTATTGCAAGGTTGGCAATCACCAGGGTGACAGATTTCCTGACAGTGGTGGAGTCCACACTCTAATACTTTGTTACAAGTGGAATTACAAACAAGATCAACATCAGTACTACATTTTACCATTTGTTTAGTAGACCCACAACCACACGATTTTGATATCATATTGGTACAATCAGGACAAGGGCCTGGGTGACATTGAATAGTACATTTATGATCACATGTTCGACCTTTTCTTAGACACATCTCTCCACAACTATGTGGAATTATACTAGATTCATATCTAGGTTCTATAGTTTTGCCACAATAACACCAATATTTTTTAGGAACTTCACTGCAGACATTTTGACATGCAGGGCATCTCCAACCATTTTCTATTTTTGATGATTTTGCCCATTCTACTACACAGTTTAGATGGAATATGTGATAACAAAGCAGACATGACCAAACTTTATCCGTATTTTTAATTTTGTCACAACAAACTAGGCATTCTAAGGTGCGACGATTGAGCATTTCAACCAATCTTTCTCTTTGTGATGCTGCATCCACTGAAAAAATACCATATTCTATAATTTCAAATATAAAAAATTCAATATTTATGTATTTCAACGACCTGCATGTTGTGCAATAATAATAATTGTTTTATTATATTTACAACATGAAGTGTTTATTACTAAAATTTACTGTATGTGTTTGTATTAGCACCCAGTGGCGTAGCCACGAAGGGGTTTAGGAGGTGTTAGAACCCCCCCCCCCCCCCCCCCATGGAGGGCCTATGTGTAATTGTTTTCGCCATTGTATTGGTGCTGATTGCTATTAACTGTTTGTTTTAATTCACTTTTTTTTTCATTTTATAAAAAATTATTTATTTTACTTATTTATTTAGTTTTTAATAAAAACAATCTTATCAGAAATATTTCACTTTGTTGATGTTCTTGGAAACCCCTCCCATGAAAAAGTCTGGCTACGTCACTGATTAGAACGACCAATCTTATCATCAAACTATTTGCCTGTTTCATTAAATAAGAGTAAAAATAATGTCCAAATAATCTCAAATATCATGACCAAAAGGGTTTGAGACTACTTCGACTTTTGTTATTAACAAAAAAGTAATAGGTTGAGTCTAAAAATCCATTAAAATGCTGTCAAGAAAATAGTTTATTTCATCTTTTTCCATCCAAACTAATATTGCAACAATTCAAAAGATATTACTGAAACTTGAAAAAAGTGAAGGGCTGACAAATGGAGATTTAGGTTGATTAAAACCACTCCTTATTGTCTTTTTTGGGGAATTTGAGGAACTCAATGTTGATATAATATATCCAATTATTTTTCTGATGAGAGTAAATACTTTAGTATTTTAATGTAATTGAAGGAAATTGTTTTTGCCATTTTGAAATAATAAGAAAGTTGTTAAGCACAAGGGCCATGAATATTGGCCTAAATAAAATTGTTACTTTAATTTGCTCTTTCTGGGTGTTTTGAATATTAAAATGTAAGTTTTCATCTGTGTAATAATTCAAATAGCCTGAGTGAGCAGGAATCGAAGAGGTGCAGACATGCACATTTATAAGGACTGTAAACTACAAGACTATCAATATTAAATTTTAAATACATTTCCTTTCTATACAAAAAAATGAACAAGGTAATACTCACATTTCTTTTTGCTAGTTTTCATATTTCTAACAAAGTCTTTTTCTAAAGATATATCTTCTTTTCTCCAATTAACAGATGAGCCACCTCCCTTAGTCTGTTGAGTATTTTTATTATCGAAATAATTGTTATATCCTCCTTTTTTGTAGGTTTGGTTTCTTCTTGAACCATATTCGTCATTAAAAGCAGGGAAATTACTATTATGTCTTAGAGCTTTACTGTTTCTCTTATCTTCATAATTTTTGTTATATTTTTCATTGTAACTACCTCTCGGCTTTCCTTGATAGCCACTATCATATCTTTTATAATTTCTAGATGAACTTGCTGATGAATGGTTTTCATTTTCATTTTGGTAATAATCTGCATCAGAATTCACATCATTATCCTCAGAGGGCCTTTGATAAAAGTTTCTTTGGTGTCCTGAATTTGACCTTTGTTGTTCATCAGTAGTCATATCTTGATTATCACTTCTTTGATAACCAGATGAAGCAAATGAATTCTCCCTAACTGACTTATTGTTGTAATTACTTCTGGAACTATTAAACGTTCTACCACTTCCATATCTATTTCTCCAATTATGTTCTTTGTTAGCTTTAAACTTATTTTGATATTGAGGTTTTTTGCGAATAGCACCATTCTGGTTACTTACTGGAATAAATTCTCTTGCTGTAGGCTCTAATGTAGAATTTGATATATCAACACGATGGTCTCTTTGATGGTTATTCCAATTTTGAGAACCTTCATTAAAATAATTTTCGGAAGAGGAAAAACTTCCGCTTGTTCCCTGATTTTCGTAAGACATAATGAAAATAACAAAATCAATTCATTTTTTACAAGCTTGGTGAACTAATTATAGATAGATCTTCACAAACATAAACTTTTATCATATTTTTTTTCTGTTTAATATGAGTGAGATTACATCTTACATCATTTTGCGTTATACTGTGCAATAATTTTAAATTATACTAATTTTTTTAATTCACGATTGACTCTACCTCTACCATTTCCCATTTCTACCTAACCCAATTTCAGTGACGTCATGACATGTGACACTTAAGCTGAGTTCGGCTTGTCGTTCTAATAGGTCTTTTCATTTGCATCGAAAGTGTAGCACTGAGCTACACCACTTCTGAAAATATTGTTCCATCCATACAATTTGTATAAATGGAACGATATTTTTAGAAGTGGTGTAGCTCAGTGCTACACTTTCGATGCAAAGGAAAAGACCTATTGTGTGCGGCTTGCCACAGATCACATCCACATCACGTACTCAGTATTGGTAGAGGTGGGCGATTCGTATTTCGATACTATAAACAAAGGCAGTGGCTCCATGTCCGATATCCGATACGAAGCTACGCGCTCTCCGCGTCCGACCTCGTACATAGAGCATCAAATTCTGCATGTCCTTCAGCGTCGATGTGCTGCCGCCTTTCTTACAATTGCTTAATAAGTAATTATTCATCATGGGTCGTATTTTTAAAAGCGAAGAAGAGGGTGTTCCTTAAGTTACTAGTGTTACTACTCATCTAAAAATTAACTTTTTATTGTTGCATTTTATATTTTAATATTTCATAATAAACAAGGTTTAATTAGTCAATTTTTTCTTCAAACTTTAAATTTCCATTTTCTCAAATTGACTGATCATTCTCCCCGCGACGCTCGCCGCGACTTTTTTTTCTTGTAAATTAGTCTTTTTAGGGACATATAAGGGACAGGTACCTGACCTCTAATATCCGATATGCCTATGTATACCATATAATTTAGGATCAGTTTGAATTGTTATTTAAGGAATAAGTTTAAAAAATATTGTTTTGTAAAAATTACGATTTAATAATTTATAATTATAAACATTTAACATTTTTTATAATAATAATAATAATAATAATAAGTGGTAATTCTATAACGAATATGTTAAAATTTAACGAGCGTTAAAAATATAACGTATGTTAAATTTGAGAAGCAATTCTGTAAATTCATGAAAAATTTTAACTTGTCATAATTAACATAATAGTTCATTTGTGCCGCAAACATCTATTCTATAAGCAGAAATGTGTTAAACATTTAACATAAATGTGTTAATTTTATGCGTTAAATCGAAGATATTAACATGTACTAATTAGTAGGCTTTAAAACTTAAAATTTAAGAAGACTTTTAATTGTTTAATTCATCTCATTAAGGCTGTATGTCACGATACTGAATTAAGTACTAAATTTAGAACTAAATTAATGCATTTTTTAAGTACTAAAAAAATTCACGTTGCAAACAGCAAATTTAGTACTAAAAAAAGTCATTAATTAATTAGATCTTGTTCTATTTTCTACTAAATTTAGTACTAAAAGTGCGCCGAAATGTTGCGCAGAAGTTTTTCATAGAAAAAGTTGACACGACGGTATTTTCTGTACCCTTTTATTTTTAATTAGCGACAATTTCACATTATCGCCTTGAATAAAGTTCGCCTGTTTGATTTTGTAGGTTTTATTCTGTTTTTCCGTGGTTTTTATGCTAAAATTTGGTTGTCAAGTCAACTAGTATCAAATTGATAATAAAAACACCATTTACTTCACTTGTCTGTTTTACACAGAATATTTCATTTCTCTACTAATTTCACGTATTAATACGTCAATGCGCGTGCGCCCATAGTAAATTTAGTACTAAAAATTGGTATCGTTGCAAACGGAAAAAAAATATTTTTAGTTCTAAATTTAGTACTAAATTAATGACTTAATTTAGTACTTAATTTAGTATCGTGACATACAGCCTTAATGCAAGAAAATCATGAAATGAACCATTTTGTAAGTACTCGTAATTTTAACAGTTAAAACTACACAAATTCTACTTAGAAATTATATTTTATTTATAATGTACATAAATTATTTGTAGTTAGTAATTGATTTGCCGTAGAAAGGTACTACTTATAAGGTTATTGGGGTTAATTTTTTTGTATTGAAAATTGATGCATGGCCTACCAAATAGTTTATAAAGTACATTCGGCCGCTACTTTTTTCAATATTCTTGTGCAAAAACAGAAAGCAATTACATTTATTTGACATACCTTAAAACTTAACCATACTTTTATTGCAAATTTGAACTACTTTTAACGTATGTTAATTTTTTTGGAAATTTAACGTATGCGTTAATTTTATTTTTACAGAATTACATTTTATGTTAAAATCGTAAAATTTAACACCCGTTAAAAATAAACGTATTGAATTACAGAATTACCACTATAAGATGGGTACCTACCTAAGTGAAATCTGCGGAATCTGCCTGACTCAATAGAGGTTAAAAATTAAATTTACTTGTCAGGTACAATAGATTCTTTTGTGGCACTCTGTGTAACATAGCGGAAAACCAACGAGTATATACTTACTACAGGATAACTAGTTTTATAAGAAACCACATTGCGATATTTCCCGTGCGGTTGATAACGTATTTATCACAAAAGAAGTAATCGATTTCTATTGTAGAAAGCGATAAGTAGAATTCTACATGACACAGAGTTCCATTTATAAACAGAACTTACGTGAGTCGGACTCACAAAGCACATAGAGGTTCCACGTGAATGACCAAGGTCAAAACCGACAACTGACATTTTTTATGCTATTTGCTCCAAACTCTAGATGTGGCTACTGGTGAAATTATGATTTCTTACTCCATTTTTAAGTCTTATGGGAGAAAAACTTAACCAAAGACTCCAAAGATGTGACGTGTATTTATTTATGTTCTTGGTTAGTTTCATTTTTCCGTCTGATTTTAGTGATTTTTTGTTGACTTTGGCTTTTGGTTTCTGTTTATAGTTTCGTCTTAGTTATTTGCAAAATTGTGATGTTTCGCTTTTTTATTTCCTACTGTGTTTTGCAATAATTTTGGTGCTCCGTTGAAAACTTCGAGAAAAACTTCATTGATTCACCGTATATTCACCATGCATCTGCATCATAAAAAGACAAACGGGGACAACAACTAATTGATAATCAATTTATCACTGGACTAGATTCCGAAATCTGTATCACCATCTGTATTTGGAAGGAAAATACCTATTTATCATTGAATGAATAGTTAAAAGGATTCACCTTTTAATACAATACCTATATTACATTTGTCCTCAGTTAAAAAGACATTTATAAAATATATAACTTTAGTGTTAATAAAATGTAATATCCTAGTCTCTACTTCACATTTAAATTATTGATAGGTATTTTAAAGATTTGAGATTATATATCTATTTGCTCCAAGTAAGTATTCCTTAAATATGTATTATTATTTGTATTTATTTTTATCTAATAATATTTATTTAAGTCATTAATAAACATATTTTAAGAATGTTCTATTTTATTATTTATTGGTATATCTTATATTTATTTAATAAAAATATGCAGAACCAACTCTCCACATTAGTCCCCTTATAACAAATTAATTCTTCAAATTTGGTATAATCGACCTAAATTATTTTGTAAAATAAAAGTTTCGAACTTACTAGTTCCATACTTTATTTTATAAAATAATTTATGTGGAAATCATTTAAAATTTAATTTAAAACTACTACCTACTCCTAAAAATTACAATTTGAATTTACCGCCATCTGTCAATTGTCATTTTAGTTCCAGCTCCAAACACAAGGTGGCGCTAATTTGGTTTAAAAGTTTAACATTGGCGTGGGGTCTCTAGAAGATACATGCTTTGTGGATTCCACCGTTGTGTTAAACGAAGTTTAAAATTACATTTTTACATTAACAATGTCATTTTAATCTCCGTTTAACACAACGGTGGAATCGGCCCTTAATCACATTCATATATGTAACAAAAATTATATGAAAAAAAAAAACCATGTAAGAGAAAAACAAATATTTCTTTTAAAGGAGTTATACAGAGTGTTTCTAAATTCATGCGACAAAATTCAGGAGGTGCTTGCTCGTATGAAATTAAGATGGGTCTTTCCTATAACAAAATTTGTTCAGCCCATACCTTTCTAACATTTCAGTACAGCTAGAAACTTGAAATTCTGTAATGTATTTTGGCTAGAGGTGGTCATTTCCAGCATTTATTATGAATCGTATTACTAAATAGAGGCTCTAGTAAACCAGCTAACTGCCTGCCATGATTGGACAGATGAATACACTTCTACCGCTAGTTGGCTGGTACATACCTATTGTTCTACTTGTTTGCATTCTTCTTGCTCATTATGTGAGACAATATACTGTATCCCTATATAAATCAAGTAATTATATTCTAAGATTGGGACCACTGATCTATCCCACATAGCACACAGACGTCTTATGGACGTCCTTCAGGGACATAAAGGACGTCCGAGTGACGTCCTTTTTTGGTACCGGGACGTCAATCGGACGTCCTAATGTCCCGTTTCCGTCCATCTTTGGGACATCCCAAAAGGATGTCATAGGGACCTTTGCGGGACGTCCTAGGGACGTAAATCAGACGTCCGAGGGATGATATTTGATCATAATCCATAAAGGGCAATAATAACAAAAATGTTAACAATAAAAGAGCTTTATTTAACAACTTTTATCCAGAAAAAACTAGCTAGAGTTAAACAGGAATGAATTAAATTTAACACTCCGCCATTAAGGTATTTTCTTTCCGCCAGCGACTATCGCCAATACACATCACTTATTCTCACCTCAACACAAAACACTCACTTCACTTTATAACCACTTTACCACCAACATCAAAAAAATAAGAAATAACATTATATAACCTTCTTTTTTCTTCATTAATCTAACTCACTTATATAAGTTAATTATTGAATGCCGAAAATTGTAGCTGTTGTTGTTCATTTGAAAATAAATGATAGGTTAGGTTTTCTGTCCTCATACTCTTGCAAAAACAAAACGTTGAATTTCAAGTTATCGATTCAAAGACCAATGATGCTAGTACATAAAAAGTCCCATAGACGTCCCGGACTCGGACCGAAACGCTTTGTCGAAACGGGACCAAAATAGGACGTCCTTCGAAGGACGTCCTAGTGTTCACTGTAATCGGAAGTCCATTGGACGTCCTATTTAGGTCCGGGACCAAATCAGGACGTCCATGGGACGTCCTGTGCTATCTGGGATATTTATGAGGATGTTTTATATAAAGGTATGGTCCAAAAAAATCTTAAAATAGTGAAACTAGATATAAAAAACAATTTGTAGTCATAATTTTTATCATATGCAAAAAAACTATTTTAAAAAATCTATTAAGCAAAACTTGAACATTTTATTTAATTTTTAGTAAAAAGCAATTATAAGAATACAATTAAGCCTATTTTTGAATTGCTTGTTTATGCTTGAGTTTTATTCCTTCAAGAATGCTTTTATTCTGACTATTTTCTTTATACAATTTATTCTTTTCGTCTTCTATATTGCCAAGCCAACTTTCTCTAAAAAATATTTTTTACCATTTTATTTTAATGAAATTATAAAGTAATTTACCTGTAATAAAATCCTATTGCAACTATACCCAGTAAGCCTCCGAAGAGGAAAGGAAATCTTACTAGTTGTCCTCTAGAGTATTTCATATTAACGGCAATATAACAAGGAACTGCATGGAATATGAATTTGTATTATAAACGCAATATATCATTCCTTTTCAGCTGTGATTACAAAACTCAGAAATCGTGAAAATTAATATTTGTTCATGTTATGTGACATCACACACTTCACATTTATTTATCTTCTTCTCTTTTAATAGTTTTAATGGACTGTGTCCATGAAATAATTTACCTAGCTACTTCTTCAGGGACTGTTTTGGTCTTGTTTGAGGTAGTTAAATAGTCCCTTGGGTAAATTGTAAAAATACTGGTAGAAAAAAAACTGTAAATTATAAAAAATTTCAGTAGCAAAGTGGAAATTAAATCAAAGAAATAAATAAATGGATATGTTGTAACCTACCGCACCCAGGTACCTATCATTTATTAATTCCATCTATTAAATATAATATTACATTCTTATTAAATATCAAAATGCTTCATTTAAACGAAAAATCTCCCAGATAATTAAATCTTATTTACGACACCTAATAAATAATAGCTATAACCACGTCCGTAATATATCCACGTCTCTCTGAGAACCAGCCCAAAGAAAACACCATAAAGCGTATTTCTGTTTACGAAGTAATTATCATTAAAACACTTTAACTCGCTTATATTTCTAGTTTCGATTTCTAGACCGATTTCGACAATATTTCAATACACAAAGCTTTCAAGGCAAGTAATAAATAAGCCACACCCTGCACCCACAGTATTTCTATGAGAACTAAAGACATAGAGACGTCACAAAGCCATTAAAATTTTATTATAAAAAGCCAGACCCAAATGAGCTCGGGGTCGTTCAATTTTAATTATTTGATGTGCATGCATTCATTTTCAATTATTTGATGTGCAAACTTTCATTTATTATTTGTATCCCGTTATATTTCAAGTTCAGTAATCAGTACCTTTCCTAAATCGCTCTTCCTAAACGACGTCTATCCTACAATACCTCCTATCCCCGAAGGTGTCACCGTCTCGACGCCCAAAGTCCTGCCGTCCTACTCCCTACGTCTCGAACACTGTCACATTCCTCATCATCTAAGTATTTCCTACCGTACATTCATTTCGACGCTCAACGTCCCACGCCTTATTTCCGACGCGTGCCGTCCCCAAATATTTCCATCATAAAATCACGTCCCGCACCACCTACATAATTCTACCGTATATCTGACCCAATACAGTACCGTATTAAATACCTTCCTTTCCACCACGACGCTAGGCGTCTCGACGCTCAATGCTGCGACGTACCTAAATCGACGCCTTCCACGACGCTAGATGAAATTAGTACATAATCTAATGTCTGTATTTTCAATGGTGAGTCAAAAGATTTATGTACCTTTCTTTGAGATACCACCCGGTTTCGTTTAAGGGCGGCTTGACTTTTGCTACAAAATATCAATTTAACCAATAAACCACATGATGGCCTTCAGGTCATACACCCCGAAAAACACTTAGGATAACATCTGTTTCGGATGGGTGAAATTTTGAGTAATTTAATAGAAATTATAAAAATCAATATAAAGAAATATACAGGGTTGAATTAAGTTACTTCAATAGAAATTATAATAATCAATATTAAAATACATACAGAGGGTTATATTAAGTCTTTTCAATAGAAATTATAGAAATCAATATTTTAGAAATATACAGGGATGTGCTATCTTAGATAAATTGTACAAACGAAGATGGTAAAATTTAATAGTAAGTTAACCAACTGGCGAATACGCTGTTCGTTAGCTCAATGGGGGGACACCTATATACGCTAAGCAACCCGTTCTACAAGGTTTGAAACAAAGTATATGTGAAATCAACATAGTAAGGTAATCAACTGGCGAATTGGCGCTGTTTGTTACTTCCGTTGGTCATCACCTCTATACTCATCGTAATATTTACCTAAGAGGGTGCAACCTGTATATATCTAGAATATAATCAAATCAACATCAACTCAATAGTTAACCAACTGGCGAATTGGCGCTGTTCGTTAACTCCGTTGGTCATCAACCTAAATCAGAATATAAACAACAACACGTGAACAACACTATAGTTAATCAACTGGCGAATTGACGCTGTTCGTTGGTCATCAACCTAAGTAAAATATATATTGATAGCAAATGAATATGGTCTGCGTTTGAACGGGAAATAGTAACAATTGTAATATACTTTGCTAATTATTGCATCACATTTAAAGTATGAAAAATAAATAGAGTTTAAATATGAATTTGTATGTTTTATTTATCAATTTGCACCAAACTTTGCATCGAATCCTGGTTTACCTTAATTAACATTATCACAACGTGGATATATAAATTATCAATTAATTAACTAAACGATCACTTCTGCTACTAGAGGAAAAAGGCCAAATACAGTAAGTATAGAATTTAAAGTAAAATAAACAAAGTTTCCAATACGTCAGTGGATAAGTTGTTTTTGTGTCGCGATACAGAAGGTGCCTTTAATATCACTGTGCAGCGGAGGTTTTTTGGTAATGAAACCAAATTTAGGGAGTATTTTATACTTACTACAGATCTTTATGAATTCATGTAGAATTTTATAAGTGTCATAGTTTTAAAAATAATAATATAATTATTTGTATTCACAAACTGTCTCCGCACCCGCCGACAATTCCGCTGATATCAAACTCAACAGATATGAACCGACTAGTCGCGACAAATCAGCGGCATGACGCCGTCCTTCTCAGCTAAGCCGACTCAAGAAAACCATTCCCATTTAAATACTCTGGTTGGATAAAATCGTCAAAACGCGACGGTCGATGGACTGTCCGCTCACGGCGACGAAGTGGTCGAAGAAACCAAGGCTTTACGTTCGAATATTTTTGGAAAAAGTGATTTAAAAAAGATGTTTATTTTAACGACTTCTACACAAAGTTAAAAAAAATATCAATTGTGTTTTTCCACATATATTCTTGTTCTCTACTTCGAAACCAGTCGCAATTTGTAAAAAATACATATATTTGTGAGATGAAAAGGACTTTTTCTTTAATTCACCTATAAAATTAAATGTTTTTATAAAGTTTCTATGAATAAAATAAACATAATAATATGAAACAATTTTATTAATATCAATAATTTTGTAGCAATATATAACAGCGAATTGAAAAATGAAGCAATCATGTTCACTTTTCTTTAACAGGCTAAAGTATTTACAAGTTTTAAATGTCGAATATGTAGAAATAGAATATTAGCGAACTACTTTTGTCTTATATAAATAAATGTACAAAAATAAATATATTTTTATCATAAACACAAAATTATATAAATATATTATAATTTAAATAATTTTTTTAAGAACCTATTAATATATCTAATAAGTCTAGTTAGAAACTTTTTTAATTAGGTCATTTAATAAATAAAGAAAATTTCTTGGCCTTCTTAATATTAAATATACAGAGTCCCCAGATAATTATTAATTGTAAAGTATAAACTTTTTGGGTGTTATACCACTTTCTACAAAGAAATAAATTTATCCAAAAATATTAGATTTCACTAAATAAAATACCATTTTTAGGTTTCAATTCCCGGACATACAAATTTTTAACAAGGACACTTTCAAATTGTTCTCTCATTTTCTTTGAGGACACTGTATATGATATTTTGAATATATTAGCAAGTTTTGCCTTTCTTTCATTCTTCTTGCACTCGTTGCCTATTTCTTAGTTTAATTACAGAAATTATATTAATTTGTTGTTTAAAATTTATACATGTATATTAGAAAATAATTTTACAAAGAAACAGGCACACGCAATAGTCATGTTTTAATTACACAGTTTTAGTCACGTTTCTAACCAGATACAGGTAGCTATGTCACATCAGAAAGTCAATAAATGTAATTTCAGTATACTTATTATTATATTTTAAATAACTACAAACAAATTAACAATAACATAATAATTTTCAGGATATTACAGTTATGAATTATTTGCTACAACATTAACGATTTTTTTAAAATTTTATTGGCTTTGTTCATTCATACATTTTTTCAGAATTAATTTGTTTTTCACTGTAGTCTACGTAAATCAATATAAAAAAATCAGGAATAATTGTTTCTCATCAGTAGTAATATCCCAAGGAAGTGATAATTCGAAATATTTTTTTTTTTTACCGAAAGCACGTTGCTAAAATTATGAGTATTTATCACTGACTGAGGGATATATTCGGTCAGAAAACTTTTGGCATATTTTAACTCATTTATTTAATAAAAAGTTGATTGTACTTTCTTGAAAGTCGGTATCATCGTTTTTTCTTATATTTATTGCCAAATTCTTTAGTACATCATTATTTTGATTATTTTCACTTTCGAGACATTTAAAAAAAATAAATTTGAAACTGACAAAGTTTGACTTTTTATAAATGTCATATTATTAAACGTTTACATATGGGGTACACGGTACACCAGATTAATGTTCGTATTAAATACTGATTGAAAATGAATTGGGAAATAGATTAAAATGTCATGAATCACTGTCTCTACTGTGAATCTTTTTAATAAATAATTATTAAAATAGTTATTAAACGAAACGTCCAATTTTGAGTTTTATCATTTAGCGTAATAGTTCATACATTGGTTTGTTTGGTGCAAACTTGACATAAACGATAACACCCCAGTGTAAGTCAGAGCTGATTGGATATGCTGACGCACGTGACTGAAAATGAGCGATTTTAATTGGTTTTCTACTAATGCCAGAAATTTTCATTAAAAGAAGTTTCAAATAAGCCAAATTTTATAACGTGTATTGTTTTTGTCCCATAAATACAATGGAAATTAAATTTAAAAAAAATAAATTGTTGCTCCATAACTCTTTGGAAGATAAATATTTTAGAGCCTCTTATGCTTAAATATATTCTGAATGTTTTCAACAAAAAATTTTTTTGTGATGTTAATTATTCTTATCATTGTTTGAAAACATACATTACAATAAAAATACCTCTTGATCCTTATTCACAAAGCATTTTTAAATAGTTACACATACATATAAAAGACAAAAACAACGTAAATTTAAAGAAAAAGTAAGTTGGACGATGGGCGTGATTTTTCAAATTTCACATGGTTCTTTCCTCAGATCAATAACAAATTAAATATTTTTGAAATCTATAGAAAACAAAAAAAAGAAAGCAGTAGCCGTTCATCTTAAATATTTTTGTTTGTTCCGCACGATGAGCAAAACTTATTTATCATGTTTTCATAACTGAAAAAAATTAAACTACAATCAGTAAAATATCCGCCTAATTTTATTGGACATTCATTATAATATTACTTTTCTATCTTTAAGAATTTGCATGTAGATAAATTTAAAAATACTTTGCGAATTAGGCTCTTAGTGACTTAACTAATTACAAAAAGCTTGAACTTTGGTAGACATACCCTTCTTATGAAAAATGGATTTCTATTAAATGGTCAAATTTTTGATTAATTACAACATCCAAACTCTTGACTAGCTTAATCTTTTGATTCGTTTTTGAGAGAAAGGAAGTTAAAGGGTAATATATTTGTCAAAAATATTTGATAGAAAAACAGTTTTCACATAAGAGCAGGTCATTTTATAAACAAGAATTGAAACATAATTTTTCTCAGTATACTTAATAAAAATTGCAATTCGTTAGCAATCAAATATTGATTTAAAAATTCCATTTCTAAAATGCAATAAGGTAAACTCGAAAGAAAACAAAATTAAACTTCGACTTTCATAAGGCCAGCTTGACTGTTCGTACCTAAGCTAGAACCATCGAGTGAGTCTAAGTCTAGAGCACTTTCTATCATCGTAGTATCTTGTAATAATCGCAGCCTACTTACACTAAATAAACTGTTTTCTTTGTCTTGCACTGTCATATCGTTATCAAGCCGCAAATCGGCGTAACGGTTTTTATCATTAATCGTTGCCAACATATGGCTTTCCCGCAATATAACAGGATCTAAATGCAGGTCTTCTACATTTTGATTTTCCTTAAAGGATGATGTCGAATTGTCGGTACACCTCTGTGGTTTATTATGTTGTGTATGGGTGTTCAACGGAGTGATGTTGTTGTATAGAGGGGAGTGATTGAGGCTGGTTTGGGACTTGTACTGTAACGGATCTTCGGGAGACATCTGTAAATGCACCGCTACGGGTACGACAGCTAAAGGCTGTTCACTAGATACTAAGTGAGTAACGCTACCAGTGTTGTTTTCTGAAAAAGAAATATTATCGATGACAAACTAATAACCGTAATAAGTAAAAGCATACTATAAATAGATCATTCAGTGAACCATCTTTTAGATCTAATGGAAATAAATATAAAATGTTACACTGTTGTTATTCTTTATTTTTTTATTTACTTACAAATGTTTGGCAAATCTATTAGTTCAGCTAAAAGTACCAAAGCTTAATTTTTAGGATTATTGTTAATAATAGAAACTTACAATAAAGATATAATAAATGGTGCGATATTCAAAAGACAATACTGTTCAGCTGAGAGCTTTTATTAATTTGTAGGCGGAGAGTAGGGTTGCCCTCTATCCTTTTTTGGAACAGGCAGTCCATTTTTGAAGCAAAATGTCCTTGTGACTGTTTAAAGCTTAAATTGTCTGGCAAAAGACTTTTTATAAAGCACATCTTTGGAAGGGACATGGTTTGTACAAAAATATATAAGCTGAGAAGAATTTTTTTTGTTACAAGCTCGGCGACCTTTTTTTTACGTACTTAGGACAGAGTGGGGTGGCGTTGGCGGGTTTATGTGAGCTAAAGGGAACGAGGTTTGGGCTAAAATTCGAAATTTGCACTTTTCCTCAATTAACTCGAATACGGTCTATTTTAGGGAAATCATGTATAGGACAAAAATGATAGAGAATAACAAATTTTATTAATATAAATTTCTTCTAAAATCGTAAATAGCAGATATTACACAAAGGGTTAGTAGTTTGGACGTGACTCCAAGTGCCGATGGCATAGAGTGGGAGTTGTTTAAATTGTTGAGGGCGTAGGTTGGAGGTAGCGTGGGCGGGGTTTGGGATGGATTGGGCGTCGTCTAAGGTGTTGAAGGCGAGGTTTGGGATGGTTGGTTATAGTCACCGAGAAGTATCTTAGCATGTCTCAGCCCAAAAAGATCGTTCCAATTGTCGGTTATTCTGCTGCTCAATTTTTTTTTAATATTTCCTAATGTTGTGTTCTTAGAATATAAAGTAGTAAGGAAGGAGTGTGTACTATATTTCCAATAGGAAACGTACGTGACAAAGTAGGCCATTTTGGATAACCATTTATGACTCATTGATTGATTGTTTATGTGTCATTTGAAAGTTGGTTCTATCACTAAAGTTGTACATACACAAAATCAGAAGAGAATCCTCTTGATTGCCCTCGTGAAAAGAAGCTCAAAAGACGAATCCAAAACTTGGAAGTACAGAATCAAGTCAAGAATATTAAATTAGGGAAATAACAGCAAACCGTATGGAGACAACGGACAGTTATCAAATCTTTAAAGAAAATAACGCTGGAAGTCAAGAAAAAAATTTGATTATGGAGAAAGAAGAAAATGTTGTTTTGGAAATAATAAAGAAATTATTTAGGAAAACCTTAGGCAAGACTGTATCTCTAAGACATTCATCAAAATTAAGATCTTTTGCAATTACACTACATTTTATTTCCATTAATCCAATATCAAAAAAAAAAAATAATTGATTAGGTAAAAAATTGATAAATTATTAAAAATAATGTTAAATTGTAAGATCCTAAAATATAATAATATTCACTTTTGAAAAGCCTATATTAACTGAATTTTTAATCTAATAAAAATATTACACTCTCAAACAATATAAATATGATACACTACTGGTAAATACTGATGTCAAGTAGTCATCTTGGATAACCATCCCGGTTAACTGACTTTGGTGTAATCCCAGTATAAGTAATAATACAGTAACGACAGTGCATTGTTTATGATGGTTCAATATTTTTCTGCGCATGTCCGTAAATAAGCGGCAAATACGTCAAAATGGCATATGTAAATTGTCAAAGGATTAATTGTCGTTGATTATCTCATTGGTTCTAATGTACATTTTAATACATTTTTTATTATATTTAGACTTAGTTTTTATCTTTTATTTATTGTGTGATATTTTATTCAAATAGACAAGATATTTTGAGAAGTTACTTTTTTCAGTATAGAAATAAGTGACAAAAACGTCAACTGTCAATAAAAATCTGACCACTCCGACATCAAAGCATCCGACTCAAGCTGTCGCTACTGTATTATTAATTATACAGGGGCGTAACCACAGAAGCACAATAGATACTCTGAGAAAATGTAACTATTCACAGTACACCTTGCTTTGTGGTGTACTGTGAATAGTTACGTTTTCCCAGAGTATTTCTGGTGGTGGAACTAGCCCTATGTTTCTTTTCTGTATTATCTATTATCTCTTCTATGGTCTTACTACTTCATATTGTAAGGTTGAGTTGAATGCTGATACTGTAAAACGGATCAGGACTAGCACAACCCGCGATTGAATGCATTCCCTTGTTTATAGTAGACATTAATAATACTAGCTTATTACAATAAAAACTAATTACTCTAAGAGAATTCATGCAAAACTTAAAACTTACCGTTATCAACATAATTAGAAAACCTCCATCAAAGTAATGAAAGCAAGAACCAAAGAAAATATGACAAAAACCGTTATATATGTTTTATACATAAATTTTCTTAAATTAATTTCTAAATAAGTTTTAAATACAATATAATAATTTTGTCGCAAATATTCGGCACCAAATAATTAACTTTCTTAAAGCACCTGAGATCACAAACTGTTTCATTACATTGCAAGTTTTTCCTATGTACGAAAATAATTTTATTTTGCGTAAATTAACGATGATTATTATTATTATTATTATTATTATTATTATTATTATTATTATTATTATTATTATTATTATTATTATTATTATTATTATTATTATTATTATTATTATTATTATTATTATTATTATTATTATTATTATTATTATTATTATTATTATTATTATTATTATTATTATTATTATTATTATTATTATTATTATTATTATTATTATTATTATTATTATTATTATTATTATTATTATTATTATTATTATTATTATTATTATTATTATTATTATTATTATTATTATTATTATTATTATTATTATTATTATTATTATTATTATTATTATTATTATTATTATTATTATTATTATTATTATTATTATTATTATTATTATTATTATTATTATTATTATTATTATTATTATTATTATTATTATTATTATTATTATTATTATTATTATTATTATTATTATTATTATTATTATTATTATTATTATTATTATTATTATTATTATTATTATTATTATTATTATTATTATTATTATTATTATTATTATTATTATTATTATTATTATTATTATTATTATTATTATTATTATTATTATTATTATTATTATTATTATTATTATTATTATTATTATTATTATTATTATTATTATTATTATTATTATTATTATTATTATTATTATTATTATTATTATTATTATTATTATTATTATTATTATTATTATTATTATTATTATTATTATTATTATTATTATTATTATTATTATTATTATTATTATTATTATTATTATTATTATTATTATTATTATTATTATTATTATTATTATTATTATTATTATTATTATTATTATTATTATTATTATTATTATTATTATTATTATTATTATTATTATTATTATTATTATTATTATTATTATTATTATTATTATTATTATTATTATTATTATTATTATTATTATTATTATTATTATTATTATTATTATTATTATTATTATTATTATTATTATTATTATTATTATTATTATTATTATTATTATTATTATTATTATTATTATTATTATTATTATTATTATTATTATTATTATTATTATTATTATTATTATTATTATTATTATTATTATTATTATTATTATTATTATTATTATTATTATTATTATTATTATTATTATTATTATTATTATTATTATTATTATTATTATTATTATTATTATTATTATTATTATTATTATTATTATTATTATTATTATTATTATTATTATTATTATTATTATTATTATTATTATTATTAGAATACAATGTGTTCCAGTACAATGTATTTATAAATGATCTGGAATCTTATATCATATAGCTACTTATAATTCTGCAATTCGCTTGTATATTTTAATCAAATTTATTTTTCCAATTAATATTATTTACTTGAAAACATTTTCATTAAAAACCTATTTTATATTATAATACAATTACTTCTTCCTATCATTTCAAGCAAAAATATAAACAGCAAATAGCTTTTCTTCTACAAATGTTAAATAATACATTCATTGTTACCTGATATTTTATAATATTAATTATTACAGATACGAGTTGAATCATTCATTTTTCGATAGTTTTTAACCATTCACAAAATATAATATTCAATTTTCACACTTTATAAAATCAAGCAATTAAAATTCATATTCCAGTAAATAAAAATGTTTGATTGTATCGCCTGAAATTTGCACGCCACTGTTTCTACTAGTACTTTAACAAAATTCAGTTTGAACTACACAACTTTTATTTAAAACTTTTTTGCATATGTAATAATAACGATGATAAAGGGTGGGTAATTTATAATTAATAAGCCTGTATATGCTTCACGAGGCCACTTGTAACTGAGCGCAACTTCGAAGGTGATAAAGTTCATCCATCCAGTATGCTTTTTTGACTATCTCCTTAGATCAAATATCAGCGACTATTTCTCCAGAGAAATAGTCGATATTTGGTCTAGTGAAATAATCGTCCCAAATATAACACGACCTTGATTAATACTCTGCTATTTTTGTTATTGCTAAATTTCTCGAATATTTTACATAATTTTGGATTTGGAGATAATCAGATTATTAATGCCAAAAATTATATCTCATCAAATTGATATTAAAATATTCTCGAGATTTAGATTCAACAAAAATAGCTGACTATTATCAAGGTGTTGGTATATTACCCTTGATAATCGCCCATCAAGTTGGACTGACAGTCAACCGTTTAAAAGGATTGAAGAGAGTTGTTATTAATTGTTAAACCTGACTCCCTGGTTCTATGTATCCTTTAAAATAATAACACATGTCCGGTACAAGAATTACAAGGTTATTGAAGCGATATTTTATAATAAAGAAATATATTCCAAGTGAAACAGGAGCATTAGTCATAGTTGAAAACAGGCGACTGAATATCTTCACATCTGCACAAATATGATGCAGTCTCTTTTGACGTGTGCTTAATGAGGTAATTACCTTTTATCTTGTATTATGAAAGTAGTGACAAATGAAAGCTAAAAGCACCCGCTTTAATAATAACTAGTGTTGCATATGCACAAATGATGAATTGGTTTTTTTGTATCTTGGTCCTGATTACTGCTAACATAATATAATATGAAATGTCTTAAAATTGGTATTTTTGTTTAAAATAATGAAAAATTGCCATAAATAAATTTACACCATATTATTCATTAATGCCATTATACACATAAAGTTATAATAATTCATATTTTTATTTTATCAAATGAAAACTTTTATAATTACTGAATTTTCCATATTTAAAGAATTTAAATTTTTTGCATTGCTAGATAAATCTCTTTAAGATAATGTATTTAACGATTATTTTAATCTTTAATAAAAAATTAATGGCTTCAGGTATTAAATTATTTTTTTTTAAATATCATAATGGGAAATAAAACAAATTTGACGTGTCTGTTAATTATACCGATCTTGTATATACATCTGACTGAAATCTGGCATGGGAAAACTATCAACCCTTAAATTGTGAGTCAAACTTCTTTCGCTACTCATTCTTATAACACAAAACTCGTCGGTAGGATGAACATTCTCGTAAATGCAACTACTCTTAGGCCTAGGCTTTCGTCCAACTCTGGGATCAACCCTTCTGACGAAATTTACATTATATCCTCTTTCGGGAGGCGTGAAATTACAATCGCGGGGCGGCAAAGGGCCTTGGTGAACCACCAAACCGTATTTTACAAAATTATTATTAGGTAAATAATCTTGGTTTACGATATTCTTAAGTTGAGGTAGCGAGTGACTGTTTTTGAATGTTTCCGACCGAGACGGAGGTTCATTCCTATCGTAAGGTAAAAATTGTGGTACAGGAGAAGGTATAATTTTTTGATTGGCACAATTTTTGGACGGAATTATTTGCTGCGCTCGGTAGAAGTGCTTTTTCAGAGGACTGTACGTACCGATATTTTCTGTGGTTTGGCGGTAAATTCCAGGTATTTCCGTGGACGCTTGCTGCGGACCATTCTAGAAATTGAAAGAAAAATTTAATATATTATTTAGATTGGTTATAGGTAAAAGAAATAATTTTTATTTTAATTAATTAACCAATTGTTTGTTTACCTGTATTGGTACTCCATACTTTTTCAAAGGCAAAGTTGGGGCATTTGTTACAGTCCTACTGTTTTCATAACGATAGCTGTCTGTCACGACTCCTCTTCTAGAACAAAGTACAAGTTTTAATTTGATTCCGATAAACCCTTGCTCAAAATAAATCTTACCTATCAATCAAAGAAGGAGTAATTGGACCACAAAGAATATGAAAACAATTCAAGCAGACGTTACCTTCTGAGTAGGGGTTGAAATTTTCCTGTCCCCGCTTACTTGTAAATGAACCTTTTATCTAAAAAAAAAAATATGATGCAATGATTTTTTATGATAGTTATTACGTTAAATATAATTAAACTGCTCAAATGTGACTATTTTCATAAACGAAAATAAAAATTCTCAAAATCAGTACCATACAAAAAGTTTTTATTAAAAATTAATAGTTAACACACAGACAACTGGTTTCGGCTTAAGAAACATCTTCAGACCTCAACATAAAATATCTTAAAACCTATAGATTAGGGCTAGGTCAATAATAAATTATTTCTGAATGGTCGTTAATTTGCTGTTAATTTTCCATAAGAAAGATGGATGATAATTTGGCACTAGATGTTTGTAAATAAAATGCAGGTGTGGAAATATGTTTACGTGAAATTAAAAAAAAAAAAACCATTAGATTATGTTTACTGTTCCTATGCAGGCAGAGCCGTTCTCAAATATTTTTAAATTCGTTGATGTAATCTGCTGAATAAATAATAAATTATATTGTTGTTTCCAACTTGTAGTACGATTTATTGAATAACTGTATGTTTTTTTTATATCCGAAATTTAAAATTTTTAAAACAAACGTAAATATTTATGAGAACATATGCCTTACGTCTTCATTAGTGGTTTGATTGCTTGTTGTTAGATAAGTGTGAAATCCTGCCAGACCCAAAATACTCCAAACGCTAAAAAAACAAATTACAGCAACTATCACACTGGGTGGCGATTCTTTCACGGCGTCTAGGAACTCGCGGTCTTCCTTAGTCACTGAAAAATAAAACCATGTTTATTTGACTGAGTCAAAATTTTAAATTATGGAAACTCATTGGTTATTTTTAAGTTCATGCACGAAAAATAAAAATATATAGTTATTTGATATGAAACAGATGTGACAATGAGAAAGTAAAATGAATATTATAAATAAACTTTTAGGTAAACGAATTTAATATGGATTTACGCGAATCTGATAAAATCTAATCGTGTATACTACGAGGGTAATCCAAATATAAACAAAATTACCGGAGATAATTTTTTTTTATTGATAAATACTTGTTTAATTGTGTGAAAATTGTATGTTAATGGTAAAAAATTGAGAATCATGGTGCAAAAAAAGTTCAACTGAACGAATATATTTCCTACACTGCACGTCTGTTATTGTTATTTAATTGGTTTTACTTTACTATATTCTATTGTGTATATTTTCATAATTATTGTACTTATAATCTTCCTACTTTTAGAGTGTAAAATATAGTAAATTTTGTTTCATAGTTCTAGTATAATAAGTTGTGACCATTCTAGTCACAAACTAATTATTTTATTAACTTTTATTTTCTTCTCGAAACAAGTGATTTATCACTTATCGAGAAGATTCTTGACAAAATTTTGTAATTTTAAAACAACTTAAAAACCCATGAAAATAATTAGATAATGACAGTTATAAATTTCAACATTATTATTAACGGCAGTGTTAATTAAGAGCAAAGTTTATCGAGAAAGTTAGGTAATGACAGTTCATTCTGAGAACGAAACATTTAACAAAATAAAACAAGAGCAAAAAAATAAAACCGATCAAATATACTATTGTTTGTACTTACTCAAAATTAAATGCGCTATTGCACAGGCAAATATAAATACTGCAAGAAATGCCAAAGATACAATAAACATATAAAAAAATCTATAATTTCTTCTACCAACACAATTTCCCACCTAAAAAATATAAAAGATTGACAGTCAGTTGTAAGAACGTTCATACAAATCATCGGGATAGAATGAAATAGAGACGACATAAACACGATGGCGACTTGAGGGTCGCACTTAGACTTATTTGAAGTCAATATATTTCTATTTGAAAATTGACGGCATGAAAATGTTTTTATTACATTTAAATGAAGTTATTTTAAAAATAAGGCATTTCTTTTCACCAAAATTGACTAACTCGAATTAGTTTAACACATGACGTAAAGGTGTAATAATGCAATAGTGTGGACACTTTTAGATCCGTATTTATAAACAAATTTCAGCAGAATCGGACTTGGTCGAGACGTGTTTGAAGGAAAACAGTTATGGATTTGCTACTGTCTACCTCTAAATTCCGGTGCAACACCGGAACTATTTTGAACTCTAGAGGAGTTAAAAATGAACTTTGATTGTCCTTCAAATTCAAGGACGACTCAACTGAGATCTGTTTATAAATACGGGCCTAAGTAACATTATAGCATCTCCTATTTATTCTATCTCAATGATTCAAATGCATGAGCCCGATAAACTTGAGAGTATGATCTGCATAAATGTCATTAACTTAAATTACTGTCAAAGTTTATCAGCTCCGTGAATTTTAATGAACATTCTTGCAACCGTCTATAAAAGAATGACAAATCGGTTTAATCAATTATCTAAACAGTAATCCACAGAGAAATCAGACCTACATTAAAAATATTTTTTACAAAAATGTAAACTTTCTGCTTTTCACACTAAATAAGTGGTTTACTCCTATTTCTGGTACATTGACTGACCAATAAACGTTATAATGGCTGAAAATTAGTATTTAATTACATATTTATATTGTGAGACATTTTTGTAAGATATGACTGTGGTTGCTTGCGCCAAATTTATATTCTGTGACATACCTCATATTAATATATGATATAAATTTTGATGTTTGGTAACTTAATCGTGGGCTTTAGAGAATGCTGAACTCTTTATAAAGAGTAACTTTATTTCATAAAACTAATAATAAAATAGTGTTCCATAAGGCGCCAACTTAAGTAGATACACTGTATAAAATGAGTCAAAATATTCATATTACCAAATTTACAATAAACGCGATTTTTATAGAATTTATCATCACATGAAAAATAATGAAACTATGAGAATTGTAACAATTTGCAAAATATTATTAAATGTTCAACTCGGCAAAATAGATTGACTACCTTGGTTAGGAATTACTGCCTAATTAAACATAGCGAAGCGGGGAGAGAGAAAAAAACCGAGAGCTATAATCTAATATTTTTCCCGTGTATAATATGCACTATTTTTTCTGTGACAGGAAAAACGACAATTTCATATTGAAAAAAATATTCTAAAATATCTAGATTTACTTATGTGTATATCCAGGAAAAAAGTACTCACTTTTTCCCAGGGAAACACTCATAAAAAGTGACATTTTGTCACCTGACAAGAGAGATAAAATAATATATTTTTTTTTTATCTAAATTAAGATTTTGTTCAAATGTCAAAAAAGCTGACACAATAAAATAATTTTCGCTCAATAGAATGTTATTGGTTGGTCAGAATCAGTGTATTGTCTAAGTATTTTGAAGGTGTTAAAAGCTGGTTTAGAACAAATGCATAAATAAATATATTTGTTTTAATATATACATAGCACATACAGGGTGGGCCACCGATAACGCCTCGGTCTGTATGGCTAAAACTATTTGATTTTTTTAAATCTGTTTTCACAGCAAGATGTACTTTAGAAAAGACAATAATTTAAAAATAATTTCAATCATACGGGGTTCTCCAAGAAAGTGATACATATCAAAGTTGTTTTTTTAAATGGGACACCCAGTATTTCATTTTATTTTGAATTACCCTCACTTTTATTATTATAAAAATACCAAATAGTATGAGATTATACAGGGTATTTCACTCGCTACAGCCCGTTTTATATAAAAATCGTATTGATTTCAATGACCTGTACAGTGCAAAAAAAAAACAATTGAAAACCAATTTTTTGCTGTAAAAGGTTTTCGATATTAGTCAAAATTCATACCGATGCACTACTGTTTTCAATTTTTTCAATTAAAAACAAATGTGTACAGGGTGAGTAAAAACTCAAATACATCATTTTCTCAAATTGACTACCCCGTATATTTTATATCACCATTTAAAAGTACCTTAATTAAAGTTTCATTAGAGTTGAGCATTCCCTACCCCTAAAGTTAATAATTTTGGAAGATTTTTAAATTTAAATGATAAAAATAATTCACAAAATAGTTTAATTTTAACTAGAAATAGACTGTTTGTTAATTAGTGATTAGTTACTTAGGTAAACTTTTCTAATTAAATAAAATCTATCAAAATGACACATAACAAACTTAAAAAAAACTGAGAAAATTATGTATTTAAATTTTGACTCACCCTGTACACATTTGTTTCTAATTGAAAAAAGTAGTACATCGGCATACATTTTGATTAATATCGAAAACCTTTTACCGCGAAAAAATTGGTTTTCAATGATTTCTTTTGCACTATACATTTCATTGAAATCCATACGATTTTCATATAAAACTTGTTAGAGAGTGTGGAATACCCTGTCTCATACTATTTAGTATTGTTATAATGGGAAAAACGAGGGCAATTCAAATAATAAATAAAATACACAGTATTCCCTATATAATTGAAAATATTTTTCAATTGTTGCCTTTTCTGATCTGCATCTTGCTGTGAAAAGAGATTTTAAAACAATCACATAAATTTGGCTCTACAGACCAAGGCTTTACCGGTGAACCACCCTGTATATCACCAACATAAAAAATTTAAAATCAACCAACCCGAGCATTAATTTCTTCCTCGTTTAATAAATATTATATTGATATTGTACCAATCTTTACGTTCACTAATATTCAGTTTAAAATGAAGGACTTAATATTAAACATACCCATGGGCAGTGATGGTCAAATCTATCTACACAATTATCACATAAACTACAATGTGATGCTCTAGGAGGTCTAAATATTTTGCATGTAAAGCAATATTTCAATTTGATTGTTTGTCCCTTAACTAAGACCTCTTTCGTCCTTGGAGGAGGTCTGTATGTCGGACTGTTGGCGGAATTTGTTACTTCTGAAAAACAATACCAATTACATACCCAGAAAATATTTTTTCAAGAAGTATAAAATACGATAATTGATAGTTCGAAAAATATTTTTTAAGGAACATTATAAAATTAATCTTTTATATTCAGAACTATTTAACTTGTTTAGTAACATTCCTGTAAATATTTATACAAAAAAATTTGGACCAAATAAATATATACAAACCTATTTGTTTCTCAACATATGCTGCTTCTTCTGAAGACGCCCTGGGAATGATTCCAGGATCGGAAAGGCTTGTACGCAGTAAGGAAGACATTGTAAACAAGAACAACAATGCACCAATGATTGGAATTGCTATCGTCACATTTTCGGCTAAATATTTGCAGCTGCATGAAAACAAATAATAAAGGTAAATACCTCATATCTCAAAATAGAACATATAAATCATAGAGGTTATTTAACTGCTCAAATGTGACCATTTTCATAAACGAAAATAAAATTTCAGATTTTGAGAATTTTATTTTCCTTTATATAACAATATGTTAAGAAGACATATGAAAAAAATACTGTCACAACTGTATTATCTTAAATAGTGACTAATTTTAACTAATCAGTTGACATCAGGCTATTAGATGAGGGTCACTATGTATATTTTGAGATGTCATGAAACTTGATAGTTAGAGCTGGCAACATTGCATTTTTAAATACCACCATCCTTAATTGGTAAGCTCTGACTAAGTGACTATTGACTATCAGTTGAGTTGCTGCTGTCACATAGTAAACATGGTATATAGGATTTATCAAAAGATTATGTATACCCTATGAACTACTTTTACTTTGTTTTCATTCTTTTGGAACTCGTCTGTTTGTTGAATTCAGAAACAATATTTGAGTATTGTTGTTTTACCCCATTTAGTAGTTCACGCTTTCAACTGTAGTGACTTACATGCACTACATATCTTCTTCACATTTGTATTATTGCGTCCCTTGATAAACTTTTATTGCATGGCAGTTCTATAAAGACAAAAGATGGAGCTCATCACCTTGTTGCTAGGAATAAAATATTTATTATTATTCCAATTTGGGCTTTTTGATACACACTACATGTCGTTCATTTTACAGATATAATATACAATATACATCTTCCAATTAATGATTTCTTTATTTATAATATAATTGGTTACAAACCTAAACCGCTTGATTGCATTTAGGCATTACCCTGCGCATTTAAAATATTTGCAAACATCATTATATTCTCTAATAAATCACATGTCAAAAACTTCATATATATGTCATTTTGACTCTAAAATTAATCTACACAATTCTGTATGTATATTTTTGAATCTTTGAACATGAATCCTGGATTTGTAAAAGCAGATTCACCTAATTTAAAAATGTCCACAAAAGTCAAATAAGACAAGACATAACAAAAATATAACACCACTGAAGTAATCTATGCATTATGGGAAGAAAAATTATTTAAAAATATTCGCCTTCACAGTAGAATATTTGGCACCGTTGTAACAATATATAGTTATTCTATAGGGTGAATTTGGTTGCAAAATCCCATCAAAAATGGTTTTTCAATCCCAATTAAATGGAATAATCAATGTTTTCTTGTTAAAATAAACACCATAATTAATTGTTTCTATGTAAATAAGATTGAAAATTTCGATGCATTGTTATAGCCCATTGATGCATTAATGTTACTTAATGCAGAGAGTTCCGTGAAAAATTTCTATGGATATTTTTGATGTAAGAAACTTCATTTAATGCATTTTTTATAAAATATGGCACTATGTTAGTTAAACATTATTATAATAATTATTATCGTATTGGAAAAATAAATATAATAAAAAAATAATGAAAATATATGTGTAGGTACTTACTCGAATATAAAAAATAGCATACTCGTAATTGTTATCAAAAAAAGTGTTAGTAAGAATACTCCTGAATTAGGTGCTGTCATAAGTCTTCCATTACAATAAAATCTGTTTCTTCCTTGAAATATTTCCCATTTTCTCGTAACACGTTCTCTTGCCATATCTATAATTTATTCTAATCTTAAACTACCTGTAAACAAGTGATTAATATTAGAAAACGTTCATTTATTTCTTCATTATGATGTATCACTCTGTACCATACACTCTTTGAATGGTAGAAGGTATATTTTCAACAAGAATGTGTAGTTAAGTAATAATAATAATTCTAAATGTTTGAATTTAAAGAGAATGTCCAGCAAAATATTATCATTTTATAATGGTATGTGTTATATCAGCTAATATGAGTTATTTGCTTTGTAATAATTTTTTATTTCGAAAATATATTACTTATATATATTATAATAAGTGAATAAGATATTTCCAAATAAAATAAAACCTTTATGTCACATTCAAAAAGTATAAATTTTTAAGAGAGAATCCAAAATGAAAACATCTATAAGATGTACCAAGAAAAACTAGGTTGTAACTTGGGCTGTAATATTAAATCAGTTGTTTCTAAAAATGATACTTGTCATAATGGAAAAAGCAGCTTTTCAAAAGTACTTAAATATTTAGGTATTAAGTATAAGGTGTTTGATAACAGAAAAATATTGTATGAACAGTCTCATATTTGTTCAAGTAAACTGTACGATGCCCTGATTTGTGAAGATTTATTTTAGATTAATATTAAATTAAAATATGGAAAATTATTAGTATGACTTTTAAGATATTTATTATATATACTTCAATTAATAATATATATTTTAAGAATAAAAGTACTTGTACGTGGTTACAAAAATATACAGTACTAGCAGACCCAGTATGCAAAACCAATTTATTTTTACATTTTTATCAATACTACAAAAAGGTGTTATGTTTATAAATAATATTCTAAATATTTTAAGACAGATGTTTTAAAAAAAGAAGAAAAACAATTCGATGTTAGGTATGCTGATAACTGGCAGTTGTTTGTGTGACTCTCAATATTAAAAATATTTGGCTTGTTGTACATTAGCTAAGAAAAAAATGTGTTATTGAAATTTCAAGCAAGGTAAGGAATGTGCAATAATAAATACCTATGCATTTTGTCATTTTACATAATTTATTAACATTATACATTAAAGGTTCTTAAATTAGGGTAAATATTTTTAACTATTTTCTCATATAACTCTTAAAAAAATAAAACAAAAAGTTGATAACTCAATAATTTTGAGGTTTAAGGTTTTGTCTGGGGAAGTTTTTCTCATTAAAATTCCTCTGAAGGACATGCAAACAAAGCAAATAACATTTGAAGAAGAATATTAAATGAACAACAATTTTGATATTAATATAAAACTATATTATTAAAGTTTATGCAATAAGTATAACTGTACATAGGGCATTTAATGCAGGTAGATGTCTGACAAGTAATCCTTAAAAAAGAGAAAATGGGTTCTGGTGGGCAGTGAAGAGCAAGATGGATGAATGCAACAGAAACAGATCACAAAACTGAAGATGAATCCACATAAAATAACTATATATTAAAATGTATTTGGTAAAAATAATTTTAATAAGAATAATTAATATGCATTAAACTAAAGATAACCACACCATAATTTTTTAAAAGATATTGAAAGATAAAAATTAAGAGTAAACAGAACCACTCAGAAATGTACTTTTAAAAGATCAAATTTATCAATTAAAGGTCAAAGAATTACATGTTCATATTCAATAAAAGTATAAAAAATATATCAAGATTAGATAAAATTATATAAATGATTTAAATATTAATTAATAAGTTAAACTAATATATAATTGACCCAAAAATGTGAATACAAGTTCATTAGGAATGTTTTAATAGATATTAACCTATTTTTGGTTGTTTATTCCTAATCACAAAATATAGAAAGACCTATGCTAATTTAATCAGTACTAGAAAGCAATTTACTTTTAATTTTAGGACAGTCATCTACTTTAAATAGAACTGTATTACCAAATTTTGCACTAATCTCTAAATAAGTCGAAAATCTTGAAACAAAAATAAACACTACATAATTACACTTAATGTTCAATTTTGACTGAATCATAGATAGCTCTTGCTCAGTACTGTTCAAGGATTTAACCAAAATACCAGAGAAAAAACAGATTACCTGTAATAATTAATAAAACAGACATTTTGTAATTATTATTAATAGAGATTTAATACCATAAACCAATCGATCCATTAATGATAAATATGATCTATAAGATCAGACAGCAAATAATGAATAATCGTTTAGTATTTTTCTTATAATTGGTAATCTTAATTGTGTTCTATTGCATAATTATAAGTGTTTTATATTTGTTAATTTGGTTATTATAATAATACAAAGAATGTGAAGTCACTTACAAACTAAATACAAAGGAAATTTTCATCAATTCAACTCATATTCTAAGTGTAGTCCTTTTCATATTTGAAACACTTTACTACTCCCATTATTGAATATAATTTAATATATAATCTCTTTTTAATAGATGCATTTTATCTTTTTTTGAAAATAAACAAGAAACACTCCTATAATAATTCCAACACTCAACAATTTTGACAACTGATAGATGACTGTTGACTGGAGGGTTGAGATTGACATCTGACAACTAAATTAGTCGTGGTGGGTTCGGATATAAGGTTCTTTCGTTCGCTATTGGTGTAGTGTTCACCAGTGTAAATTGCACCAGTTACACCACCTTATTTACCCTACTTTACTTCCTCCTTATTCCTTATACACATCGTCGAGTGTAATTCACTTCTGCTAAATAGCTGGTGGAGAAAATATCCACCAGTGTACACCACATCGCCGACAGGAAGGTATAGTGGGTTTTACACCGGACCAAACGAAAGGTATGGGTGTGGGTTGGTGTAGTTCATTACTACACCCAACTACACCAGTGGGACGAACGAACGAACCTATAGTGGATTTTATTTTTTGCACTAGATTGTGTTCTGCACCAAACGCATATTTGTTCAGTTTATCTTCAAATATTTGAGTGTAGTACAATGAATTGGAAGAGGGTAAAATGCCAATATGCATGTTGATTATTAGAACTAGGTGCGACTCTATGGGCGCTGCCATTTTTATTGTTCATCTCATTCGGGCATATAACCGACATATACATTGCGTTCGGTCTGCCAAGTTCCTTAAAAACTTTTAACTCCAAACGACCCTTTTATTTATTTATTTATAAACAGAACTCAGCTGAGTCGGACTTGGGGAAGTCGTTCTTGAACGAAAATCGGTTATATCCTTCGAGCATGCATTTAAAAATGGGTAGTAACAGTTACAGATTTGCTAATATCCATCTCTAAATTCCAGTGTAACACCGGAACCACTTGGAACTGTAGAGGCGTTGTAACCGAACTTCGATTTTAGTTCAAGGACGACTTTACCCAAGTCCGACTCAATGAACTGGAGCGCGTTCAGGAAACACGCTCCGACCAAAAAGAGCGTGCTCAATTTGCTATTGGTTCGTTCAGGAACAGTAGAGCACAAAGCACGTATCTTCTAGAGACCCCACGCCAATGTTAAACTTTTAAACCAAATTGGCGCCACCTTGTGTTTGGAGCTGGAACTAAAATGACAATTGACAGATGGCGGTAAATTCAAATTGTAATTGTTAGGAGTAGGTAGTAGTTTTAAATTAAATTTTAAATGATTTCCACATAAATTATTTTATAAAATAAAGAATGGAACTAGTAAGTTCGAAACTTTTATTTTACAAAATAATTTAGGTCGATTATACCAAATTTGAGGAATTAATTTGTTATAAGCAGGGGTCTGATGTGAATAGTTGGTTCTGCATATTATTATTAAATAAATATAAGATATATCAATAAACAATAAAAAAGAACATTCTTAAAATATGTTTATTAATAACTTAAATAATATTATTAGATAAAAATAAATACAAATAATAATACATATTTAACGAATACTTACTTGCAGCAAATAGGTATATAATCTCAAATCTTTAAAATACCTATCAATAATTTAAATTTGAAGTAGAGACTAGGATATTACATTTTATTAACACTAAAATAATATATTTTATAAATGTCTTTTAAACCGAGGACAAATGTAATATAGGTATTGTATTAAAAGGTGAATCCTTTTAACTATTCATTCAATGATAAATAGGTATTTTCCTTCCAAATACAGATGGTGGTATTACTCCACTGCTTTGTGTATTACTCTCTTATGTGAAAAATGATTTCGGAATCTAGTCCAGTGATAAATTGATTATCAATTAGTTGTTATACCCGTTTCTTTTTATGATGCAGATGCATGGTGAATTAATGAAGTTTTTCTCGAAGTTTTCAACGTAGCACCCACAGGTAGCACCAAAATTATTGCAAAACACAGTAGGTTATAACTAAGACGAAACTATAAACAGAAACCAAAAGCCAAAGCCAACAAAAAATCACTAAAATCAGACGGAAAAATGAGATTAACCAAAAACATAAATAAATACACGTCACATCTTTGGAGTCTTTGGTTAAGTTTTTCTCCCATAAAGCTTAAAAATGGAGTAAGAAATCAGAATTTTACCAGTAGCCCCATCTAGAGTTTGGAGCAAATAGCATAAAAAATGTCAATTGTCGGTTTTGACCTTGGTCATTCACGTGGAACCTCTATGTGCTTTGTGCAGTAGAGCGTTCAATTTGGACATTTAGCTACTCTCGTTCAGAAAGTCGAGTCAAATTAGTCTAGAGTTCACTCTTTTGTACCCAGTTTGGACTGGGTTAATTTGAGTAAATTTGACAGAACGTAAAGTTCTTTTGCAGAAGTTGTTTCATATTATTTTTGTGTCATAAAGGAATTTTATAAGGTTAAATTTGTTTTAAAATAAATAATCTAAAATTTCTTGTCTTATTGACTATATAGATCATTCATTATAATCTCTATTATAAATAGGGCTGTGAATAGGTATATATTCAAATAAAAAGAAAGAAAAACAGCTTAAAAAAATTAAATGGGTAAAAAGTAAAACTATACGTGACACGAGTAACAATAACAACGGGAAGCGAGGAACATCAAACATATAAGGGAATAAAATGTCTATAAACAAATAACTGTAAAAAACTATAATTTTCAAATTCGTTGACGTTTACTCTCGTTGCCGTTCAGAAATTTTGGGCCAATGAGAATTACTCTAGAGTAGTCTGGGCAAACAATCTAAGAAAATTAGTCTACTCCCGTGTAAAGTCATCTGAACGCGCTCCAGGGGCTCGATTCTCGAGTTCATTGGAAAATTTTCCCATGGGAAAAGATTCCACTACTTATATTCACATGGTAATAGGTTATGCAATTCTCGAACTTGTCGGAATAGACATTCCCATGGAAATAATAGTTTCACGTATGTCTGATATTAAGTTCACGAATATTTCGAAATAACCAATAACATTAAAGATATTTTAAAATTTACTGTTGGTATTATTTGTATTTGTTGTGGTTTTTGGGTAACCGATTACCTGCCGAGCCTCTGCGCTGGAGCAGATGCCGTGCCGAGCAATCGCTAGCTTGACCGAGGACAAGTGAAAATATTCGATTATGTATAATTAAAACTTTCGAGTTATTTTTAGTTTTTCTTTTCACATATTGAAAAAAGAAAAAGTAGCTTTTGTATAGAAGAACAACGAAAGTTTCGAGAAACTAAGAAATTCTTTCGTTAACGGAAATAATAAAATTTTCGAAAAGGTCTTATTAAATTTACTACAAATTTCTCAATTTGTGTTACCTATTTGCCAGTCCCTTAGCAACTCCCACAATTTCTAACTAATTTAAGAAAATCAGTTTCTTAGTGAAAAAGAGGTAAAAATAATATACCCACATAAATAAAATAATATCAATTTATAAATACACAAAAAAAATGTTTTAACTACAATTTCACCAAAAATCCAAGATATCCAATAATCTTTGGTTATGTCTTAGTCTTTCGCGTGGTCTTTCGTCAAATTTTCGACTTTAATGCGCAAACTCTAGTACAATTCCCATTGGAAAACACAATTTCCAATGCTCGTAAGCAGGGGAATATTTTCCCATACTTCTCATTGGAAAATATTCCACCGCTTATGCCGAGAATACGAAAACTGAATTCCCATGGGAAAATTTTATTTTCCCACGGGAATAAAAGTCGAGAATTGACCCCCAGGGGGGCTATTTTCAAACTCGAGAGAATTCATTTCTCTCAAGAGAAATGTCATACGTCAACGTAAAACCGTATTTTTAGGGCTCATAGGGCCAGTGTGAACTCACTGACTGTTTCTCTCGGTTTATTTAGAGAGAATTAAAATCTTCCTAAGAATTTTAATCCTCGATGCCTTTAAAAACAACATTTCCACATTGACAGAATTTCTTAGTTTCTCGAAACTTTCGTTGCTCTTCTATACAAAAGCTACTTTTTCTTTTTTCAATATGTGAAAAGAAAAACTAAAAATAACTCGATAAGTTTTAATTATACATAATCGAATATTTTCACTTGTCCTCGGTCAAGCTAGCGATTGCTCGGCACGGCATCTGCTCCAGCGCAGAGGCTCGGCAGGTAATCGGTTACCCAAAAACCACAACAAATACAAATAATACCAACAGTAAATTTTAAAATATCTTTAATGTTATTGGTTATTTCGAAATATTCGTGAACTTAATATCAGACATACGTGAAACTATTATTTCCATGGGAATGTCTATTCCGACAAGTTCGAGAATTGCATAACCTATTACCATGGGAATATAAGTAGTGGAATCTTTTCCCATGGGAAAATTTTCCAATGAACTCGAGAATCGAGCCCCTGGAGTAGGGTAGAAAGCCAATGTGCATATTGTATCAATAGAATAAGATGCGACTCTATGGGCGCAGCCATTTTTATTTCTCATCTCACTCGGGAGTATTTATAATAACCATTTTCTGTTTCACATTGTTATTGTTCAATCCACAAGCTGGTGGATCAGACAATAACAAAGTGAAATAGAAAATGGTTGTTATAAATACTCCCGAATGAGATGAAAAATAACCTGTCTTCGCCCATAGAGTCGCATCTCAATCCTATTGACAAGCATTCTACTCCACTCCAGTATCAAAGTATGTGACTCCAGTTCATTGGTCCGACTCAGCTGAGTTTTGTTTATAAATACGGACCTAAGTCGTCCTTGAACTAAAATTAAGTTCGGTTACGTGCTTTGTGGTTACAACCACCGACCTTGATATTAAACTGGATGGATATATAACATAAACCTTACTCCTAATTTCCAAGCCGACATGGGTAAAAAAAATGTTCGGTGCACATGACAATTTAGACGCCAGACTGTCAATTTCGAGCATTCTACCCCAGGGGCCCAATTCCTGACGCCTTCGTTAACTTATCGCATGCGATAACGTATGCGACTTGATGAAAGTGTATTCCTGAGCTGGCGGCATTCGTCAAATTTATTAACGCGTGCGCTAAGAAATGATGATTTTCAAAGAGCGCTCATGACCGTTCGACAACCACTTTATCGCATTCGTTTAGGTGAAAGTAAGGTTATAATTGTCAATTAATCCTGCTTTATCATATGTGATTCTGATTCATGTTTCTATGTATTGGTTTTGGTTATGTTTTGTGATTTATTGGGAAATATTTATTTTTAATTTGACTTTTTTGAACATTTTATTAGTTACTATAGAATATAAAAATTAAACTTTTTGTACCGTGAACTCTTTTATTGGACGCTTAAGTGCCAGTTTATTTTGGTATATTTTATTTAGTATGGATGATGTAGAAGAAATAGGAGTTTTACAGGCACTAAACAATGTTATAAATTCTACTAAAGTTTCACGCTGTTTTTCCGTTATTCGTGAACCCCGCTGTTCCATTTTTAATATTCTAAATCTAAACCACTCCAATTCTCAAGTCCAAAATACAAATAATCACAGTTAAAACATCCAAAAACCAAAAATTATTAGACATCTGCAATCCATTTAATTTTATAATTTTTGCATTTTTGGCAATTTTGACATATGTCAATGCAATTATCTCATATTCAGTGATACCATCTTTGGTATTCTCAATCCTCATTGGTTAAGACTATGCAATAATCAAAGACTCTTCGTTAACACGTTCGACTTGATTCGCGATTATCGCATGGTGTTCAGGAATACTAAATTGCTGTCGTATGCGTTAACGACCATGCGTTACTTAGCGCATGCGGCAGTTAACGCATGTTTCGAGAATTTGGCCCCTGTATATATACCAATCAGTATTGGCACTCTGAGGCGGCACGTTTGATCTTTAAAAGTAGAAATTTTAGTTGACACTTGACGTTTTCGGGATATGAAAAGTTTTCTTTACACGGACTTGGTATACATGGTTAGTTGAATTTTTGTTCTGTTGCTTTTCAAATTCGTGTGTATGAGGGAGATGTGAGATACCTTAATAGACAACGGTTGAACAACTTAATTACTTTGAAGAAGAAAATAGATTAGATATCAGGGCAGTCTTCGCAAATGTAAGAAGGACAGAACCGTTTTAAATTTTTTTATATATGTGAAATATTACTTTTTGATGAAAAGTTTAATTACTTTTAGTTCAAAATATAACGTTAGTTTGTCAAGGGAAATATATAACACACAAGGTTAGAGTAACAAAATAGAGGTATTGCTTTATTTCTTAAGAATTACTCTAATCTAAAACTTTTCTAGTATATTGTAAAAATTTATTCTATACGTTATTTAGGTACTGCAAAATCTATAGGAAAGTATGTAGTTTTAAATTTAAAAATTTGTAACGGAGACATATTTAGTGTAGTTTTTTACAAATATATACTCAGTGACTTGTTTTTGTGAATGAGTTTAAGTATGGCAGACTAAAATCGTTATTTTTTATTATGAAAATTTGAATTTATTTTAAAATGTGAACTATATGTATATGGTTTTCGTAGTTTTTACACTTGTGATAAAAATATCAAAGTTATGTATATTGGCCATTTACAATTCATAGACACAATACATATTACTATTTGACATTCTTGTAAAACCACTAATTTAAAATTGACTTTAAACTAAGTGACTACACACAGAATTGTTTGAAAGCAGCCATAAGGTATAATTTATGTATTGGATACTATAAAAAATTTAATAGTAGTTACATGTAGAGTTAAGTAAAAAGAAATTTAAGACCAAAAACAAAAAAAACCTTTATATCTAGTGAACTTAATTTAGTACAGTCCTCAACTTTCTTAGGCTAATATTAAAGATATCTATTTGGATCTCGCTAAAAAACTCATTGGTAACAGCCATCATCTTGTTAAAAAGAGATATACTACTTGGATCTAAATCAAATAATTTATTGTTACTTGGGTTTCTTAGATTAATCTTTGCCGCATTAACATTTATATAGTCAATCAATTCACAATCTTTGTACTTAAAATAGAGTACAATATATATCACAGCCTGTTGCTTTCTTCTTTGTAAAAGAGATTTAATCTTAAAACTATTGAGCATAGTTTTATACGAGATTTTAGGTATGAGGGTACAAGTATTTTTTATGACATAAAGGTACCGTAAAAATATTTTTTGTACTTTTTCAATATGATCAATTTGTGTGGCTTCCAAGGGCATCCATATTTGTGAAACATACTCAAGATGAAGTCTTACTTAGGCATTATATAATCTGATTTTGGTGGTAATCCTAAATTTTTTTGTATTTGTGATTTAAAAACCTAATGCTTTTATTGCATTTTTAGTTATGTGTAAAAAATGGTTATTGAACTTCAAATTAGACTGAAAGACAACTCCCAAATCCTTTTCCTCATATTAACGATTTAATGTGACATCACAGGTCTTATTTCTAATGTAAAACATTAAGAGGCTATGGATCCTTACAACTTAAAATATGCATACGTTTGTAAGTGTTAAATAGACGGATAAAAAGTGTTGATTTTTATTTACAACTATAATAAGAACCCATTAAAAAGATTAAGAGCAATAGAACATTTCAACAAATTTCTATAGGTACACATATTTTTGATACCTGATAATCAATAAATAATATATTTTTTGGAGTAGCAACAGGTTTATTAATACACAACTATTATTTTGTTACAAATACTTATAATATTTATAATTAACATAATAGTTGATATAAGTCCTCTAAAAATAATATATTTTGATTTAATTGTTGAATTTATACATGAGCAATTTTCCTTGTAGCGTTGTTTACATTTTGCAGAGAAATATTGTATTCTGCTTTTAGCTGATAAATCATGTACATGTAAATGGGTTGAATGTAGACAATGTTAATGTTTTTGTTACTACTGCTGGCTAGAAATGCTGGGCTGGGACACCAACAGAAAAAAGGAAGCACAAAGCACTAGATGTTTTTATCACTTATACACGTACAATTTACAACCATTCAAGTAACTAGCATGTTGGAAATACTTCACGAAAACATATTAAACATAAATCAGTCGAAGGCAATGTATTTTCTTTTTATAACACACCTTTTTAGCTTGATTACTTTTAGTACTCTATTTATTCCAATGTCCTCAAATAAAACGAGCAATAATAAGGATAAAACACACACTGAAGTGTATTTGGGGTATTTTTGATCTAAATCCACTATCAAAATAACAAATTTTCCGTTTTTAAGCTGTGAATGTATTACAAAAACTACTTCGATAAAATGTAAACAAAAAGTTTATATTTGTGTACGAAATATGGGTTGCCTGCGCATGGTAGCGAGTTTTTAACCGGATTTATGACAAGTGAGTTATATCCCGAAAACGTCAGCGCAGTAAAAGCTGCGCGTCTTTTTCCCGCCCAGGGAGTGTCATGGGCCTGATTCTACGTCACTTTCCCCACGGGCGTAGTACAAGTTACATTTTTTTTATTAATAACAGCCTATTTTAATAATAATTATTATTATTGGAACATTTGTTTCAGCAGCGTATTAATCAAAAATCATTTTTCTTAAATTAAAAGGTGTCGTAGTTGAATGTAATAAGTGTTAAGTTCAATGTTCCTTTTTAGTGCATTTCGTTACGCACGTGTGGGCGCCACAGTGTCAAATATCACCTCGCTATGCGGCTTGACTTTGTTCTTCCATTTTAATATTTAGGTCAGTGGGGCGGTAGGCAATCAAATGGCCACTTCCCATTGAATAAAATGACACACCTTGTATAAGAAGCGACAAAAAATGCAGGTGCTTCTCTCTTAGCTGACAGACAGGTTCTATATACTCCTGGAGGATGCACAATGGTCCTTATGATGGCGGAATGCCGTGGAGCAACTCATCCTTCCCACGATACAGGCTTGAGGATGCATAATGGGCCTAAATGATGTGGTGCTCGTAACCAAGTCTCTCCACCTTACATACATTAGGCAGTAATTATTAGATTTAAAAAATGCTGAAACAAGTAGTAAATTTGATATCAGCTATATTATTTTAAACTACTCTTTTCAGGAAATATATACAGAAAATATATCAATGAACTATATGTAATTGTTTTCCACCATTCTCACTTTTAAATAAATAAAAAAAATATTGTTTTTAAAAACTAAGTTTACACTATTTGTCTTTGACTCCTCGCTGATGTTGTAAATAATCCAGAAGATCATTTAAACCACTAAATTCAGTCCTTCCTTGAGGCGGGGTGTTTTTAGGAATGGTTGGTAGTACAGATCCCATTTTGTATCTAAATTCTTGCATCTAAAAATAATATAGATTATGTAAGATGCAATGTTTATAATATTTAAACATTTGGGTGACTAAAATGTACTACAATTATTAAAATGTCCCCAAATAATTGTTTCAATTACAAATAAAGTAACATCGTTTTTTTTTTACAAAATCATTTTGTAAAAAAAAACTGGAAATTGTCTAGATAAACAATTCCTGAGATATTACAAGATGCTGCCCATAAAAAACTAGGTGCTTTGTTGGCTTCTTTCAAAACTTGTAGAGCACCTTGCTTTCTATAAAAGACAAAGTGTAAAAAATATGGCATGTTTTAACTCAAATGATCTGGCACCAGATATATTTCTTTGAGATCACTAGCAGCAGATGAGTTGATACATTTTTTTCCACTAGGATACAACCATTTTCATTCTAAATTTGAAATCATAGGTAGTAGTATATTTTTAAAAAATTTCTTCTGCAAACTTTATGGTATATTGTGGTTATATTCAAAAAGATTTTATACAATTAGACTTGTTTATGTTATGATTTTATTTTATCCAATGTAGGCAATTTAAAATAATATAACATTATTATTTGTCTCATATTCTTTCCTGTCTAACCCAATGATGCATCTTAAGACATTCCATTTATTCCAAACATATAAATACATGCTTATGTACATAAATATTGTTTGAAGTATGTCAACAACAGATGTGAACTAGTGGTCTATCTTCAGATTTATTTCATATATATATTCCGAAATGCAACACTCAATTGTCTCCTCTTTTGAGACAACAGAAAATTATTAAGAAATAGCAAATAAGTGCCATATTATGAAAAAAAAAAATAAAAATTAAACTACTATTATTCACAAATTTGTGTAAACAATTATAAAATGTATCTAGAACTCATACATTATTTGCACCAGATATCTTCCATATACTGTAAAATAAAACTCCACATCCAACAAATGCATATAAGGAGCCCCAGCCAAGGGCTCTTAATGCCAAAGAGGCACCAGTCTCCGGTAATTCTTTCATTGGTGTCATTCCAATACTAAAATATTTTGGATCTTGTTTTCTTGCAGATGCCACGGTAGCTCCAAAACCTATTAAAGCTGACAAACCAGAAATCCCAGAAAGAAAAATTGCAGCTACAAAATAAGAAAATAAGGGTTTGTTAAATATATGCAATATATATTTTACCTTTAATTTTAAATTGTCTTTCCACATCATCAATCTCATCAGATTTTTTGGTAGATGCTAAAACATTTTTATCCATTAATTTTTTTTTAATTTTTACTGCTACACGGTGGTGTTTGGTGTTTTGTTTTTGAGGGAGCAACAATTTTCCTGTCAAGAGGTTCTTTCGTTCGCTGTTGGTGCAGTGTGCACCAGTGTAAATTACACCACCATATCAAAGACCATTATGGATCACACCGACCTTGATATTAAACTGGATGGCTATTCGCGATTCAAATTAATTTTCGCGCGCCTGTCATTTGTCACGTATAAGTAGGATGTTTGTTTATTTACGTGTTGTGGGATTTTGTATTTGTGATTTTTTAACTGTTTTTAGATAATATTCTTATTATAATAGTGTTTTTGACTTTCATTTAGTGTTAATTTAAGTTTAGTTTTCGTGCTTTCGTTATAAATGTAATTTTTAATGTGTAGTACGAACTAATTTGTTGGAAATATTGACCTATTGGTTGCTACAAGAACATCTAGAAATATGTATTTACTAAACCCAGGACATGTTTTATTATGTGGTTTAAAGGACATACCAGGTACCAAACGTTTATTATTGATGAACTTCTTTAAAAATCTTACTATCCTTATTCTTATATCATGAAGTGAATTGTGTAGTACTTTGTATACATATAAATGGTAATAAAACCGTCACAACTCATATTGGAGTTTGATTCTAAACAACGTTTTGCAAAATTTCAATATTGTGAATGTGTAGATACCCATTTATCGTAAGAAACAGACTTTTATGACGCACTTGAAAAATAATGAATACTCCAGTTTTGATTTTGACAATAACACCATACAGATTGCAATTTTCTGGGGGCTTTTTCGCAGATTTAATTTTTAATTTAAATACTATCACATACTATAAGAAATAAACAAATTTAAAGCTAAAAAGTAACAAAAAACTCTAATTGTAATTGATACAAATTAAAATGTAAACAATGAACACGAACGCCAATGTTGCCAAATGATGAACTGATTTTGTCTCTGACTGATTTTGAAACTAAAATCAGAGACAATCCAGCGAGACGTGTAACTCAATGTATTTTTTTTGTTCGGTAAAACTTATTTGGGCGATTGTAACCACAACCAGTCTATGATGGCGCCACTAGTAAATAGCGGGAAAATTAAAAATGCTTTAGGGCGGGAAATTCAAACATGGATTCAGAAATCGTTTTTGTATACAACAAATTTACAAGAGAAACAAAAACTATTGTTTCACTGTTTATTAAAAAAATATAAAAGCTTCCAATAACATCAAATTTTTTATCATATAAATAATCATTTTAATAAAGGAAGTTTTAATCAGTTTAATATAAGCAGTGAACATAGTTTTTATTACTCTTGTAAATTTCGCTAAAAAAACTTGAAAATTCTATTGATTATTAAATATTTAAACTTGGAAAAATAATACACCAAACTCTTTTTCTATAAATTATATTTTTTTAAGGTACAGAAAAACAAACTACAATTGCTATGTTTAGAAAGTACCTCCTATCATTTTGTGACAAATTACAAAGAAAGTAACAATTGTTATATATTCATAATATATTTAAGAACTAATGTAACAAATATTTTATAAAGTATAGAGTATATCGATACCTTTTTGCCAGAGTGCCATTTGAACAAATGTCGTTTATGTTAGTCTGGCAAAAAGGTATCGATATGTTATGACTGTTTATTTTAATAGAAACCATGGAAATGAAACAAACACAGATACACTCAACACAAATGTATAAGGCCTGAGTCGAGTTCCCATCCTGTAAACTGGACCTCTTATAGTAATCAAGATCAATAGATTTATATGCCATGCCTTCTAAAAGGGAATGAAGGATGACATACTATCATCATTTAAACAGGACGTTGCTGAAGGCTTACCCCTGTTATTTCGTTTGTTTGTGTATCTTGTGTGTGTGCATTCCTGTTGTGTCCCCAGTCATGTAAAAGTTTTCCTAGTCTCCTAATTTGGTTACTAGGTGGACCTTCTCCAACTAGTAGTCTAATCTATTCGATCTGTTCGGAAGCAGGAGCTACTTTTCAAACATAGCAAATAATATTAATAATAAACACTATTTAAAGATAAATACATTTTTGTAATTTTTTTGTCATTGCCCCTTACATTTCTCTTACACCACCAGGGTATACCTATTTTCCATATTCCCTTAATTATAGATTACCTTACAATGTTCGAATGAATATAACATTTTACTCATGAAAAAGCTAATTTCATATTCAATTTCATTTGAAACAATAATTGGTACCTATATTACAATTTATTATCAAAGAAAATTTCTAATAAAGTTATAGCAAATCCTACTTAAACTACTGGTTGTTCTGCAGGATAAATTAACTTTTCTTGAGATTGATCTCTCTATAAAATCCAAAACCGACCTGATGTCCCCAAATTTATTTTCCAATGCATCCTGATTTAAAATTCTGCCCTTTTGTGATTCAATTTTTTTTTTCTTCCTTTAGAGTGGCTGTTAGAGGTAGGTGTATGTAAGAAATAGCTAATCTCTAATCATTTCAAAAGTCCTTTGCCAATACTACATGTGCAGATTTTTTACTCAGCATACATTTTACTTTTCTAGTAGATAGGAACTTTGTGCTGCCATTAAAGCTGTCCAGACATTCATCTACCTACTTACAATGGATCTCTGTTCCAATTCACCTAAAATAATTATAGTCATTGTGTAATATATTATTAAACACACACATTATACAGTGGTTTTCTTAATAAATTGGAAATTACTTACTCTAGAGAGAAATGTGTACAAAAACGCGAGTTTGGTTCCAGAAATTGCTTCATGCAAAAAATAATATGCAAAAATAAACAGTCCCCCCCAAAGAAAATTAATTAAACAACAAAATCAGACTAAAAGAAATATACGGGGCCCAAATTAAATTAATTTTAATAAAATGCACATGTTCATAACAACATTCATAACATTGTCAGTTGTCAGTTTTAATACTTTTAATCGATATTTCTACGTCAAAAAACCAGCAACACCAGCGCCCTCTGAAAATGGTGTTAGTTTTATTGGAGAGAGATAGACATATGTAAAGATCAATGTAAAAGAAAAAGAGGGTCATATATGTAATTTAAATGGACCACCGAACATATTTTCCTATTAAGTTACACGTCTCTGTTGTCTCTGCTAAAATTAATAAATGAACTGATATTTAAAAAAAAAAATCAATATAATAAATCGATTTTATAAAAAAATCCTTAAATAAATAGTATGATTGATTACATATTACTAGACACAAATTTTGATTCTTAAATAAAAGGTCTTATCCATTTCTTCAAAAACTAAAATCCGACGACGTAACGAAATTTTGCTGCTTCTGGCAACACTGAACGTCATCCTACTTATAGGGACCTTTTACTAATTTCCTCCAGAGGGCGTATCACTTAGCTTGAATCGCGTTTGAGAATCCATATCGGATGCATCTGAGATGTAAGGTCTGTTCTGGTTTTGAGAAATAACGATCCACAACTGTCGGGCTCATGCGCAGTAGATAAAAAGTGTTCTGGTTTTTCAGGGGCCCAATTCTCGAATCATGCGTTAACTGCCGCATGCGCTAAGTAACGCATGGTCGTTAACGCATACGACAGCAATTTAGTATTCCTGAACACCATGCGATAATCGCGAATCAAGTCGAACGTGTTAACGAAGAGTCTTTGATTATTGCATAGTCTTAACCAATGAGGATTGAGAATACCAAAGATGGTATCACTGAATATGAGATAATTGCATTGACATATGTCAAAATTGCCAAAAATGCAAAAATTATAAAATTAAATGGATTGCAGATGTCTAATAATTTTTGGTTTTTGGATGTTTTAACTGTGATTATTTGTATTTTGGACTTAAGAATTGGAGTGGTTTAAATTTAGAATATTAAAAATGGAACAGCGTGGTTCACGAATAACGGAAAATCAGCGTGAAACTTTAGTAGAATTTATAACATTGTTTAGTGCCTGTAAAACTCCTATGATAAAGCAGGATTAATTGACAATTATAACAGAGACAACCACATACAAAAGAAAATCAAAGTATGTGGAGACAACCCTCTGATTATAACCTTACTTTCACCTTAACGAATGCGACAAAGTGGTTGTCGAACGGTCAAGAGCGCTCTTTGAAAATCACCATTTTTTAGCGCATGCGTTAATAAATTTGACGAATGCCGCCAGTTCAGGAATACACTTTCATCAAGTCGCATACGTTATCGCATGCGATAAGTTAACGAAGGCGTCAGGAATTGGGCCCCTGGGACTACTTCGGATCTCTCAGTCCAGTGTTCTGGTTTCGTATCCGAAATAATCCGTGATTGTTGTAAACAGTCAAAAAGTGTTCATGCTTGGGAGTGTGGATCGACTCGGACTGTTTTGACCGCGCATGCGTTTTTTAAGTGTTATGAATATTGTATTGGCTTTTTAGACCATACGAAACGTATACAATCCCAAATTGTTTATTTATATGTGGACGAATGTCTCTTGTTCTTGTTTTATTTGTAAATTAAAGCAATTTTAGAATTATTAATTTTTTAATATTGTTTTTATTTATTCCATTGAAATGTGATGATAATGATAAACATATACATGCAAATGTTATTTGAAGCTGAGCTTTCAAAAGGAACTTCATTATTATAATAAACAATAAACAAAACACCTTCATGACGTGTTCTGGTTTTCCAAGAATTTCAAACAGTCGGGGATTTTTTGCCTTTACGCATACGGTCCGGCGCAGTTTCAAAACAGTTTTCATTTTGAGAACCAGAACAAACCTGTAGTAAAACTTTGATCACGTGATTCAGTATATGTAATGCTGCGTTTGAGAATCCACATCGGATGCATTTTTTACATCTCGAGCGTTTTTTTATTCACATCGACACATCTGTCCCATTACATTTACGTATACTGAATCACGTGATCAAAGATTTTTTACATCTCAGATGCATCCGATGTGGATTCTCAAACGCGGCATAAGTAATGGGACAGATTTGTCCGATGTGGTTAAAAAAACGCTCGAGATGTAAAAAATGCATCCGATGTGGATTCTCAAACGCGGCATAAGATGTGAATTTTTTGTCACGTGATAGATG